CTTCCTCCTCATACTGTATGTAGCTTTATTATTATACAGGTCCTTCCCGAGCTCCAAACTTCCAAGAATACTCGCTTGTCAAAATAAAGGGCCATCCCAGGTGTAAAGTCTCCAGAGAGGTATATCTTTGTACGCAAATATCAATTTGTACAAGTTACCATTTTTAACAGACTCCTTACCACCGAAACTGTTCGCGCCATGGTCAGAAATATCTCAACCCCGGTCAAGCCCGGATCTTTTTCCTGTCCCTGGTTAACATGGGTGTAAGGGCAACGAGTGGTCAGTTTCATCTTGCAGCTAAGAAGCGAGTGCAGCTTTTCAAGGGTTGGCAGCAAACGACCTTTCCAACGCGGTTACAAGAAGCACAACAGCCAATTCTTTGCGAATATATTGATTGAGTTTGCATGATACTTACCAGTCAGTCCTTCTACTTCGGCACATTGTACATACTTGCGTGGCCCAGGAAAATCTATGCTAACATCATATCCGCTCGGTAGATCATTGGTTGACAGGTTTCTACGAAGTCGAGAGAATTTAATACTAAAAATGATCGTCAAGCTTTGAAACTCTCAAAACATAACCTCCCTCGTCTCCTCCACATTCAAATTCACGTTTCTCACGTCTTCGCATCCAAGAACAAGTAAGTTAATCGATTCTAAATTTTGATTACTCGCGGTTATTTGATTTAGTCCAGTTAAGTAAAGTTGAACTAACCATCCTTTCCCGTCAGTAATTCATTCTGATTCGAGGACTTTTATCAAGCTAAATTTCTAGGGCGGTTGGACCCTGACTCTCGACTTTCAATGATTCTACGTGCATTCGATGAAGACACGGCAGTATTGCATGCATAGTAACAAGAACAAGTTAAACAACATAGGAGAACAAGAAAACTATCCGAAATGGGATAGCCAGACCGAACAAGATTCGATCCAGAATTAATCTTTACAATATCCTGGGATCATAACTGTTCCTTTCGAAAGTCACTTGGGAGTTGAGGTTATGCCATCCATAGCTATATTCTTTTCCTCTTTTGCCAAGGTGCTTACACGAACCGCCATTTGTACTGTAAGAGTAGGTATGCAGAAAGGATGATACCAGAAGGACTTCTACTATTGATATTTCTGGACAGTAACATACGGTCAACTCAAGGAGAAGTGTGAGGGTGTGAGGGTGTGAGCATTTTCCCCTCCTCTTCGTCCTACGAGGATGACGAGTCCTTCAGCTGTTTGTTACATTTCCCTTCTTCCTAGTATCATCAGTGTAGCCCTCGACGATAAAAACGGCTGTGCCAATGCCTACATGGTGATCCGAATTTCATCCGTCGGAAGACGTCAGCCGTCCAGCTTTCATGGCCATTCCATGCATCACATCTTTTCACTATTCGTACCGCAGGTTGTGTCAACATCAAGCCGCAAATACCCACAGAGTAGACAACAAACACAGCATCCTCAAATAAGACAATGTACGATGTAATGAAAAATACCTACGGTTAGCGTTTGATCAGCCTCCTTCTACGCCACAAGGGACATCCTATCCTGTTCAGCCTCTCAGATCTTTAAAAGATGATCATTTGCTTTGTCCGTCCTCAGACCTCTTGACACCTGGGTATGAATCAACAACATCAGCAAACTTTTCTAGAAGTTGGACCTAACCCAGGACCAGATGTATCGGCATTGCTAAGTATGTACCTAATTCGGTGACTATCTATTATCGATTTCAAATACCATTCAACCGTCACCTGATAGAAAGACTTATCGATGGATTGATTGTACGATATCTATCAAAGCTTAATCGATTGTTTCTCTATGAGCACATTGTAGGAGATGGGAAGCCTTATTTGGCACCAATATTCAATCCTTTCAGCTAGACATCCTCTTGAGTCTTCATTATTGCTTTTCCTTTGCTCTATGTACCTTACCTTCCCTGACCCTCGGCTCAACCGAGATTGATTTTCTTTCTGTTGATTCTCATCAGCCAATCTGAACCAAGCGTAACCTTACTGGAGCAGGTACATACAGTACCTACACATTTATTAAGGATTCTCGGAAAGGAATGGTATATCAGGTTACCAAAATGCATGTAGTGCTTCCCCCAAAGATTGTCAAATTTTCATTTAATATCAGAAAACCAGAGTCGGAGGATTTTGACGTGCCATGCGTAACGTAACTCAATTTCAGCTTCATCGCTTGAATACGATATAAAGTCAAGGATTTATACGATATATGGGATTGTATGTAAGATTACATGATACCTATGTATTCCAACACAGCTACTACTGAAAGATTAAAATACCCTCAAAACATATATGACGCCCCGACAAGCCGCAGAGAAACATCAGACGGATATCTACGGATGAATATAGTTAAGGTAGGTAGGTAGGTAGGTAGGTTGGTAGGTAGGTATAAACAAAAGATCGCAAGGACGATTCAAGGTCAATCAATGCTTTCACTCTTCACTCTTCACTCTTCACCGCCTCGTACTCAAATTCTTCATTTCTGCCGTTCTTATCGTCATCATGATTCATATTTTGTTTTTTCCTCTCCCCCATACTTTTGAAACTTCCTGAGCGGCAGAGTCTTCTCGTATTGTGTTGGCATACTTTTTCTGTGCAAGCTGTTGTGAGTAATTGACTTTCATATGCACAATACCCCTTTTATACACATGGAATCTATGTACCTGGGTAGAATGTGCTGGCTGGGTACAGTAATACTTGCGATTCAGCACCAGTATCTCTAGTATAATTGCAGGACAAGCGAGTGCTCGTCCTTTGATTAGTAGACGAACTGAGCGGTGATGAGTGGATGAAATGTCAAATCTAGATCTTAGTCCAGATTTCTGGTGTCAAAATGGCTGGCGAGATTTACTTTCATCTACTCGTACTGGTATGGAGATTTAGGTTTTATATTCTGATTACTGATGATGTTTGCACATCATCGATATTGATTTTATCGTCAGCCTTTGCTTTGCTCATGGAATATAGCCACTATATAGTCTTTCAAACGGATATGCTTTTTCACCATGGAGAGTTAGTTAGCTTTTCACGATCCTTCCCTCGTCAATCTTACTTGAGTATGATGTGATAAACTTCCATCAATCGAACAGCAACGGTAGTTAGACTATCTTTGCAGAGTTCTCTCATTTCCTTGACCTCGAACATCAGAAATAACCTTTGACACAACTGTGTGAGCATTGGAATAGAACAAATTTGTCTTCTGATTTCTTTCCTTTGACTCTTTGTATACTTTATATCATTCTCGAATCCCAATCAATTGGAGACGAGAATTATACTTTACATGCATGTGCGTAAATGAACGGGTCAAGGATGAATATCTATCTCTGTACTCCGCCAACCTCAAAAATTACTTTTTGTTGCTTGATTGGTAGTGTGGATGATGGTGGGGGAATATCTTGGCGTGATTTTTATTTTTTATTTTTTGGGAATTCGGGGTGTCTGTTCGTGTGTTGTGTTAAGGCGGATATGTGTTCATGGTCTTGAATATGATTACTGCATCTCGAGAACCTCAACCCAGATATACACACGGTGTTTATATATTGCATTCCATTGAAATCGCATTGTTACTCATATTATTTCCTTATCTTCTCACTTCAAATTTTATAAAATCCCTTTATTTCAGACCATATTTATTTTCATCTCTCCATCATAGAGATGAATGAATACTGAATGGATAATGAATGAGATGAAATGAGAGAACAACAAATACTATCTCTATATAGTGCATACTACGCTGTATGATAAGTATATAGCCATACAACTACATTCTCATGTCGACATTAGAGATGATTCATATGCTACCAGCAAAAGAATAAAGTAATAAAGTAACAACTTCAAGACGGATCATAGATGAGTGTTGTGTTAGAGCTCTTGTGTCCCTTCTACCCCTTCCCTTCCCCTCTTTTAAGACTTTGTGGTTATTCTAATCTATATTGTGCTGTTGTTATTATGTTCTCATATTTTCATATCTATATTACTATATCAGAAATTTCCATATCCCATATCCTTTCTATCCTATATATACCATCTCTCTCTCTCTCTCTCTCCTCTCTCTCTCTCCTTCTCTCCTCTCTCTCTCTCTCTCTCTCTCTCTCTCTCGTCCACATCGTATCCATCTCTTCCCCATATATTCATCTCTCTCAGTGTCCAATAGTCCGGACTGCAGGACGGACTAATAAATGATTTAAACTAAACAGTCAAGCTTAAAACCCAAATCCATTCCCAATTCCAATTCCAATTCCAATTCCAATTCCAATTCCAATTCCAATTCCAATTCCAATTCCAATTCCAATTCCAATTCCAATTCCAATTCCAATTCCATTCCAATTCCAATTCCAATTCCAATTCCAATTCAATTCCAATTCCAAATCTAAAGTTCCATATCCAAGTCAAACCATCAATTTTTATATATATAAAATATACCAAGAGAACTACTTCCCTCCCTTCCCTTTCCCTTTCCCTTTCCCTTTCCCTTTCCCTTTTCCCTTTCCCGTTCCCTACACACCCATCTCTAAAGTGCAAATCCACCTTATTTCCCTACCTTAGCCTCTACCTACCTACCTACCTTACTTACCTACCTTACTTACCTACCTACCTACCTACCTATTACAAACCCCTAATACCTCTTCCCCCAAGCCTTCAAGCCTTTCAAACCTTCAAACCTACAAACCATCTATCTACTTCACCCATAAAACAAATTTAACCATCTCGGTAGGTATCCCAAACAAAGACATCTTGATTTCTCTCTCCCTTCCTTAAATTCACCAACTTCTTCAAAACTGCAATTCCTTATTGCTCAACTATTCAAAAATTCCTACCTACATACGTACATACATATCCACACACACACTAAACCATCCCAAAATAGATAACAAATCACCATCAATATAAATCTCAATATTATAGACTGTAGCACCGGTAGTATGTTAAGCTCCAGTTCCAGTTCCATCTCCAGCTCCGTCTATAAAACCCAATCTTATCCCCAGATCCCAAGACCCCAAGACCCCAAGACCCCAAGACCCCAAGATCCCAAGAATTTTCAAGCAACAAACCCACACTTCGCCAAACAATTCCTATACCCATGCGATGCCATGCGATGCCATGCCTTACCTTGCGATACAATGTGATACCAAATTGCTACATGTCAATACCCCAAAAAGCCAACCCCAGACCAATCTCCAGCTTGTTTATACTCCGTGTAATGTAATCACAAAATTCACAATTCCAAGTCCCATAAAGTCTACGACTTTCCCCCTCCATTCTCGCTTTCAAGATCCGTTCCTTCTCTCGCATCTCCACCAGCCATCCCCATCGAAAGTCCTACACCCAGTTCTCTCAACCTCGTTGCCAACAATCCTTCAGCGGGAGTTTGTCTCCCCTCTCTATCGGGAGTGTTGACTCTCGTTGGAGAGAATCCATCACTACCATAACCTAAATCACCTTTCTTCAATTTCTCATATAATCCCGTTCCCATCCCACGTCTCATGCCACCCATTTCTACTTCTCCAATTGCCGTACCCGGTCTCACATTATGCTCAGAATTCAATGATTCCCTCGCCCCTAAATCCAATGGTCCAATATCATTATCTCCATCCATCATACCTCTCTTCGCATGAAATTGAAAAGGAATAGGATCACCCCCCCTACTCGATGTACCATCGTCACTTCCAAAATCAAAATTCCTATTCCCACTCAAAGGAAATCCAGAACTTCTCCTCCGATATGCCATTTCTGCCGCTAATGCCGCACCCGCACCTCCAAAGCTCGAATCACGAATTGCTTTATAAGTAGTGAATCTCGGTTCTGGAAATGTGATTTCGTTGTGAAGCTTTTCTTTACCATCTGGAACACGATTTGCAAAGACGACTCGTATACTTTTGTAAAGATAGTAGCGACCTCGAGCTGGTGAGCAAATATGGATATGAACAAGATAGCGGAGGGTAGGTCTTTCGGCGAGTGAATCAATAATAGGTGCGGATCGATGAGGCGAAGATGAGAGTGCCGAATCAAGAATAGGTCCAGCAGAATAGCTCCGTTGGCGTACAAACGTTTTGGTGCCAGGTTCCATTCCAGTGAGATCATATGGAACAAGAAACAATTTAACAGCTGTTTTGTTAGGATTCTTGATGATGATTTGCAATTGCCCTTTTTCGGGGATGCGATAGCTACCACCTGGAGGTGCTCGTGGAGAAGTGGATCGACGTTTTTGTTTTTCTGCTCTACGAATTTCTCGTTCTGAGACTTGTCCTGAGCTTGATGGGTTGTTCTCGAGATCATCCATATGTATTCGGTCAAGCGTAGCATTTCTCCTCCTCTTTTGGTTGTCCCTTGGCTTCTCCGGGCTCGGCAATCCATTTTCTAAATCAATGCAGCCAACATATGGACTAGGCCCATCATCAGATTTCCCTCTCCGACCATGACTTGTGGATTCATAGGCGTAAAATACTGCCGGAAATGACAAGGTCACATGAGGTGGACATTTGAGACTTGGTTTACATTTTCCGAACCCCAGTACCCCTATTTTAGCAACGAAATCGAGTGGCTTGGAGGGTGTAGTAGACATTCGTCCCCGAAGGATGCTCTCTTCATATGATCCCACCATCGATGCGTGTAGAGGTGATACGTCAGAAAATGAAGGTCTCCTTGACCGCGAGAAAATCGGTGTTTGAGGAGAAGATGTCGAGTGGGGCATTGTGTTGGAGGCAAGTGATCTCCGAGGTTGATGAGCTTGGTAAGGATATGTGTTATCTCTCCTAAGACTCGGTAAAGGTTTGTTAAAAGTGGTAGATCCCGGTATAGAAGTATTTGAATATACTGAATGTGAAGCCTGTAAAGTATGACGTCTTGAGTTAGTTTTAGGTGTCCCGGGAGAAATGTCTATTGGATTTAAATTTGACGTATAATCTAAATCCTCGTTACTTTCTGATTGTACTAGAGGGCTTGTTGGTGCTTTCAATACAAAGCTCGAAGAATATGAAGAGGATAACGATGGTGCACGAGTTCTTGCTCTTAAATCTGCTTCAACTCTATCCACTGATGGAAACCGGGGATCGAGTTGAAAGGGAGTAAAATTTCGCGGTGGAGATGTAGCTAGCCATGGTAAGTTTGATGTGCCAAATCTCTTCATATCTTGCGCAGGACTACCAGATATAGTTTGATGTGGACCTTCCGTGAAATTCCCACTGTGTAATGCGGACTTTGGTCGTTCAATCTCTAGACTAGCTTGTAAGCTAGGTTTGTCTACTGACGAGGGTCTGGTAGTATTGGATATATCGGGAGATGGTAATAGAGGAGATGAATTCGAATGATTCGAGGTCTTTCGAATGGGAGTTTCTGGGCTTTGGCCATGAAGTAGGGACACCAACTATATTCACTGTCAATATACAATCACATGCATTGGAGCTCAATGATTTACACACATTCAAATTCGGGAACCAGCTCGAATTTTCACCCCTTTTTAACCTTTCAATGAGATCTTCTCTATCCGCTGTTCTGTTGTATGAATTCTCAAAGCTTGTATCCAAACCTAAAGTCGGTATAGTCTTTGGTCCCTCGGGAGTATCTGGTACAGGACCTTCACATAATTCCGTTCTAATGCTTTCTTCACTATCTTTCCTCATGATTGTTCTTCTCTCCGGTGGTGACATTGAAACAGGAGTTATTTTTGATTTTTGAATGGGCAATATCTCTCGGCCGTCACCGAGATCATCTTGGAATATGGGCATGATAAATGGATGTGTAAATGGAGCCTTTTGAGTTTGCTCCTTTTCGTTTGGTTATAAGAACATTTCAACGTGATTTCTGAATATTTCAGGGTGGGAGAGAGCTTTTGTATGTTGTGATAATGTGGATTTGGAGGGATGATGTTGTGACGAGGCGGGGGATAAGTGGTGGTTCCTTATTCCTTTGTCTCTGCCGATGTGATGTTCGTATCGTATGCAAGACTGGTATGACGAATGAGAGGATGAGATAGTGATCTGATATTTGATGGGAATTGATATTAACAAAAGAGGAATAGGGACTATTCTGTTTCAATGTTTTAAGTAATGAGAATGCATTAAAACAATGTGATACAAATGCAAGTATATAGATATAGATATAAATAAATACGTAGAAGTAGGAAAAACGTAGATAATAAACAAGACAAGAAATGGAAGAGAGGAAAGAAAATCCAGAGGTTCTTGCGTACCGGTATATGCTTGCTGCATGATGACTCTGCTCTCCCAAACTGATAAACCTTACGATTACCGCGGATGCATTAAATTTCCACAATTCTACGTTATCGCTCTTGAGTACCGGGGTACCCTACAGATGAAAGAGTGATAGCTATTATCAATTATATCAATTATATTAATTAACATAGTTTAACATTGAATAGTTCATTTCATTAAATAACTCATTTCCAAATACATCAAAATTAAGTGCTTTTTAATATTCATATTTTAATAATTAAACATTATCTCTAAAAAAGAAAAAATTATTAAATAATAATAAAACATTAGTTTCTGAAAAGTCTAGTTTTTATATGAATATTTTTATTATATTATTAAAAAAATTAAAATTGTTATAAATTTAGTTATAAAAATATTATTTTATTAATAACTTTTATATTAATTCAAATTTTCGAATATAAATTAGATTTTTGTTATAATTATATAAGTAAATATTATATCTTAAATTTTGAAAAAGTTATATTAATAAATAAATAAACTATATAATTACGTATAGACGAATTGTATATGTATTTAAAGTAGACCACTTAGTAATATAGGCTACTCGATGTTAAACCACGTTATATCAATTATATCAATTATATCAATTATATCTTGTTACTCGTATTCAATTAGTATTAGCAGGTGTGAATATAGTAAATCTCTGCATATGTAATAAGTATCCACTAAAATTTTCTCACAAGACACTTCCAATTCAATTCGATTCATTCCACCAAAGATATCACCTCCTCGTTTCTCATATTCTCCATCCCAGTATTACAATTTTACAAACGCTTTTCCACTCAACCAATTCCACAAATGGCTCCTACCAAGCGCCCCCGCGAAGAAGACAACTCATCACGTTCAACTACTAAGAAACCTCGCCATGGCTTCAAAGTAGGCCCCGACAATTTGCCTGATGGGACTTGGCGTCGAAAGGTCATTGCCATTAAGAAGGATTTGATTCACAAGGCGAAAGTCAAGAAGTCGTATGCGAAAATAAAGGCGAGGGAGCCGCTGAAGGATGAAAGAAAAATATACGCCGATGATGAGAATAAGGAGGACGAGGTAGCAAAAAATGAGGGAGGGGAGGATGCTGTCGAAGGAGAAGAGCCAGCAGAGCTCCATCCTCAGAGGAAAGCTATGCTTGATGAACCTGAAGCCGATAATGCCACCAAAACCGTTCCACGTTATTCGAATAATTCTGAAGATGCGAAGGAGAAGAAGAGGGAAAGAGGTGAAAAGAGAGGAGCAAAGCCGGCATATTTTGCAAAGGAATTAGCGTTTGCTGAGAAGCAAAAGGCAGAACAACAGGCGAGAAGGGAAGAATTTGAGAGGAGAGAGAGGGAGAAGAAGGCTAAAATTGAGGAGAGGGAGAGATTCAGGAGGCAGATGGCAAAGGCTAGAAGTGGAGGAAAGAATGGGCAGAGGAAATTAGGAAGGGAGAGTCAGGTTTTATTGGAGAAGGTTAAGAGGGTTGTTGGTAACTAAAATGTTAGCGGGATTTGGGTGGAGTCGAAAAATCGAGGGACTTGCAAGGAAATGTTTGAATGGATGTAATGCCGAATAAGAGAAAAGGCAGTAGCGAGCTGCGCAGGAAAGGCTGGAGAAGCTTATGATACCCATGAAGTTATCACAGATGAATGGACGAGAGGTTTATCTAAAATTATGGCGTTATGGCCGGTGCTCCCAACAAGCGTTTTTGCATCACGGCACTTTTTCAAAGGCACTTTTAGTTAGTGTCTTGAATTGAACAGAGATTAAGGTCATTTCTCCACTGGAATTTGCATTTTATATTGACAAGTTATCATTAACGCTGCTACAAAATATACTATGTACTTCACTCTCCTAGTCCTACAATTCATTTAGTACTTTATCAGACTTCAGCCTGCACGATTAGAAGCCCCATACCCTCCAGCCTATCCATAAAACTCCAGTTCTTCAAGAGCATTACTCAAAGCCTGCTTGACCTTTTCTTTCTCCTGAAGCTCCGCCTCGATTCTTTGCATCTCGGCCAAATTAGCAGTCTGGCTCTCCAACTGCTCTGCTCTCCTCAAGATCACGATATCCAATTCCTCCGCGATATCATCAAGTTTCTTCCTATCATCCTCTTCTGCTTCCTTGACTCTCAGATAATTTGCTCGCAAGTTGGAGATCTCAAGATCAGTCCGCTCCTGCTGTTCTCGTAACAACTGTGTCTCTGATTCCGAGCCGTTATGAATTTCGGACTCGACATCACTTGTGGAGACTGGTTGGGGCAACGGGGCCTCTTCAATCGTCTCGTTTGATGTCAGGGAATCATCAAAGAATGGAGGCGCTGTAGATGTGGATGGATCGCTGGAATTAGTGCTTGCGGGGATGTGGCTGGTTCTGAAATCGATGTGATTATCGATTTGTGCCATATCATCCATTTCACTGGGTCGCATTGTGGGGGAAGTGACGAAGCCCCATTCATTGCTCACCCATTGTGTACAATCTTCTACATTCTCTGTTTCGTTTGCTTGGAGTGATGGTGTATGCTCAACTTCTGCTGCTATTGTCTCTCTGGAACCGATTCTTTCGTCTGACGTTGTTGGGTCTCCCGAATATATTCCTTCATCTGATGTCATTATCTCGCCTGGTTCCAATGCTTCCTCGGGTGCAGTTGTCTCATCTGGCAACATAACTTGTGAATCTGTCAATGCAGGTGGAGGGGACAAGCGAGAAGTAGTCGAATTCCGAGCTGATGGCACGAGATCTCGCTCGATCTGCGGCTCATCCTCGGCTACGAACAGAGGACTTCCGGGCGGGCTAGTGGCTGGCGACGGAGGATTATCATAGGTTACCAGCGGCTCAGTCGTGAAAGGTTCGAAACGCTCACCAGTAGACGGCGTGATCAAGGGTAGAGGGAAATCTCCTGCTGCTTTTGCAGTTCTGTCCCGAATTCTATAGCCGGTCGCCACACTTTTAATGTCGTGTATTACCACACTGGACATCCGTGGCTTGACAGGCTTGGGAGTCCGGGGAGTTGGGGGTGATCTCTGCGCCATGGTAACACGAGGCCTTACCCTGCTGCTATTCAGCCGCAAACCTCTTCTTCTTCTGCTAGGAGCATCGCCGACTGGAGTGTCTTCTGGTGTCATAACCTCGTGTTGCATTCTACCAGCGCTGACACGACGACCGCTAGACTGCGAATAGTAAAGCGTTTCGTTGTAGTTGTATTGCCTGCGACCGTGCTTCTTAAACCATTCGCGGTATTCCCCCGATGTTCTAGTGTATCCCTCGCGTTTCATGGCTATCCCAATCCTTATCCAGAGCCCATTGGCTTTCACAACATGTTGGATATCTCGACGGTTTTTCACCTGTTCAAAAAGGAAATCCTTCTCTACTTGAGGCCAATACCTAGAAGTTCTAGCTGGGCCTGGTGCCGCCATAGTCTCGGTAGTCCCGGCGGATGCAGAGCTCTCAGCAATGACTGGTGTTGTAGCAAATTTAGTTGCATAGGCTGCTCTAGCAGTATCGGGCATGATAACCTTCAATTGCCTATACTCTTCGACCTCCTTGTCGACATCACTTAAACTCTCAGGCCAACATAGACGAATATTGCTTTGGATAATTTTCTTGCGCCAGTACAACCAACAGTCGTGTACTTGGAGAGTCGCACCGGTTTTAAATGCAACTTTATTGCACGCTCTGCCGAGAATCTCGATCGCGCTCATGTAATCATCAGCATCTTCTGTAATACTCTCGGTGATGATGTCACACATTTTCTTGGTGAATCGACGTAATGGACCTCCGGCATGTGAGGAAATGAGCTCGTGTTCATCGTCGGCTCTGGATGAAGGGGCCACTTCTCTCTCTGGGGAAGGCGCGGCCTCTACAGGATGCGAGACTGGTGGCGCTGACTCGAACTCCTGCGATGTGTCTGTAGATCCTGCAGCATTGCTAAGCGAAGTTCTCACGGTATTGAAGCGTGAAGCTTGGGATCCTTGAGTAGTGGTCTCACGCACACCAGGACCAAGCCGCAAAGGGTGTCGAGCCGCATGATTGCGGTGGGGAACTCGAGGATAATATGCATTGCGTCGTCTATAGTCTGGTCTATAGCTATCTACCACCCTCCTTGATTGATTTCTATCGGATCCTGAAGCGTAGGAGTCTGTGTCTCTTCTCGAGTCTTGGTGAACCTCCCACATTCCTCGTTTTAGTGTTGACATATATTCTTCTCTTTGGGATCTTAATGGATATTCTTCTCTTCTTGATGGATCGTCATTGTCGCGTTTTCCGAAGGAATTGGTGCTGCTATGTTGGTCCATGTTGGAGTATGTTTGGATGAGCTGGTTATGGTGGATGTTATTGCAAGATGTTGAACGTAGGAAGGAATTCAGAACCCTTAAGTAATTCTCAAGAGCTCGCAAAACAAGATGTTAAGCTGTAGAGGTAGAAAATGTATCAAGTAATGAAGGAGTTCCTCGAACCTGATTGTCTTCAGGAATTGAGTTCAAGTGCGATCTTGTATGTCACGAGAGAGAAAATAGTTCTTCTAGAGCGGTGCGAGAAGATGGTTAAATATATCTTGCAACCTCGTCTAGCAACGTGGAACACGGTATTGACAGTACAGACTGTGGTGAAAACACACTAGTGCTCTCGACTCTGTAATTCAGTATGTTCATCGTGACGAGAATATTGTATGAGCCGGACAAGCCGTAGGGAGCAACGCGCTAGCTCTCTCGAGTCTGTGTTCAGTATGCACATTGTGCCTAAAGAATCGTATGGGCATTACGGAATGTATTATATAACGAGCTAGCGCTCTCGCGTTCATTCTTGGAGCAGGTAGATTATGCGCCGTATAAATCGTAGTGGAAATACGACAGTATCTCCTAGCTCATTCTCCAAATTTCCGCCGCGAAGCGAAATCATATGAATTGTAAAGGCCATAGTAGGGGACGCGACAGGTGGATCATAAACCTTTCAGCAACGCAAAAAGCCGTACCGACTTGTTAATTGGGAAGTTCTCCTGTGGAAAAATTCGCTTCGGCAATCCTGATTTTCTCGGTACGTTGAACTGGGCAAATTTGTTGAGACATTTGTTCGCTTCTTGGCTTTGAGTGTGATATCAAACTTTCTATTCACTATTACACTAGCTGCATCGTGTATAATTATATCTATAAGTTTTTTCGTACTGTCTTCGCCAAAGAGCATAGCAACCAAATACACAGGGTTTCTACCTCTACACGTGACTTTGTAGTACTGCAGCGGCGTATCTAGTTCTGGCACTAAGATATCATGAAATGTGATCATCCCAGCCGTAACCCATACTGCCACATGTAGAAACTGGCTAGTTGTCTCACAGGTTCGTCTGAATTCCTGCTTAGTTGCAGATAGAATTTGGTATTGAAATTTAGAGTTATGAAGGTACGGGAGAACCATGGATCGAGAAAGTCCTAGACCTTAACAGTATCTTTTAGTCTAATACAGTCATTAGGGCAGGCTCTTATTATCATTCCATATTCTTCTTGATTCTCATCAGCGTGTAATATGATGGTGAGATAAAAATGCCCAGTCAAGTATTAGCATATCAATAATCATAAGAATAGATTTTACTGGGATATCAAGTATGAAAGTATATAATTGTTAGTATGTTCGAAAAAGAATTTGTTCAGAACTTTGAGCCCAAAGTTAAGTGATTGTAATCGTAGTATCCCCGCAGTTTGTCAATCAAATGATGCTTATAATTGTTTGATTGACTCGTTTATCGATTCGAACCCTTACCCATTATATCTGACCAAGTACTCGTCAATGAGATGATGAGACACCAGACTTTCCGATATAATTCCTCTCTCTAGCAGGCCCCTCCATAAAAGCACATAGTAAAAAGGGGTCTCGGAAACTAACATGGCAAAGCAGTCATTCATTCTTACGCACAGAACCATGAATGGACCGGTCAAGTGAGCTAGCCTCACTGACTTAAACTCTCTACAGCATCGTTAGATCTTATCATCTGAACCAACAAGTGCGCACTAGCAAAGTGAAATACAGTTTAGAATAAGATATATGTATTCCACTTTATTAAAGTCATTCTATATGTATACATGACAATCATGAAGAGAAAGTGATCAAGTAACCCATAGCCCTTGAAAGGTCATCAAATCCCCAAGACCAGTAGAAAGAATCAGAAACATGTCGATAGGTACCTGTCAAGGTCGGTATTATCAACGAAAGCAACCGGAGTAGTGAAAAATCCCAATCAAAGTAGAGTAGAGACATAGACACCAAACTTTTTTAAACTCAAAGAAATCACAATGCCCTCCCCATGGCATAACACACTTAATAGTCGTCGAGGAAGCTTTCAATCTTCGCAATACGCTTCATGGCTTTCTCGCGGATTTCCTGCTGGACTGTAAGCTCCCGTTCTTTCGCATCTGCAGCCTTAAGCTCCAGATCTGCTCTTTCCTTGTGAGCAATCATAGCGAGTTTCAATAGTGTGTATTCCTCCTCAGCCGCTTGTAATTTTTGTTGTTCCAATTCCCGATTTGCTTTCATAACGACAGTCACATCCGATGTACTGTCCGGAATGTTTCTTTGTAGTGCAGACTTGAAAGAAGGTTGTTGGACTTCGATAGTTGATATGGCAACATCATTCGCTGAAGGTTTATTCGGTTCTGGTATACTTGAGCGGCGACCAAAAGTCTCGGGTTTGTCCTAAAGCTTCTCTGTTAGAAGAACTCTCAAAGACTATAGCGATTGAAGTATCAAGATAGGAAAAATCTGAGCGTGCCTGAGACTTTGAGTCAACCAGAATTCCCCCATGATTTCTCATCAAAATCTCCGGGCCCAGGCTGTGGCGAACTCTTTTGGCTGGTTCTTCCTCTTCTTGACGATGATAACCAATATCTGACACGCGATAACGCTTCAATACCGTACAAGGAAACTCCGGTTCATCGAGAATGGGAGTGGGTAATTCTTTTTCGTTCTGTTGCTTAGCCTCCTTTTGAAAGTCTGCTTTTTTCGCATCTATAGCTCTCTGATTTCTATACCACAACTGAATTTCTTCATTAGTGACGATGGACTCAAGTAGTGACCCAATCAATGCGCTCGTACCTTGATCTGCTCTCTGCTCAAACCAGTATCCTCCATCAACTTGTTCACCACGGGGTTATCTAGGCGATTGTATTTTGTATACTCAATCATCAGCAGATCATGCTGCTGAGGTGTAACCCAGACTTGTACATCTCCCATAACCATCTCAGCCTCTATATTATTCTGCTATTCCAACATCGTCAACAACCTCTGGACTATTGTATGCAAAAGCTTATGAATAATTACCTGAAAATTTTCTTCAATTGAGGAGTCACGAATCGAATGCCAAGGGTCAACTTGACACGCTGTATGCCCCGGAGAATTCTGTGCAGACTTCCATCCACGAACGCGAAGTGTTCCACGCGAGGATTTATCAATCATATCTAGAGTTCTTTCATCGAAGTTGTACTTTTCCCTTCCCTTGTTCTTCCAGTAGGAGTAAATGTTTGAAGTTTTTCGGTAGATTTGGTGTTGTTCTAAAGCCTTTGCAACAATATGCCAAATCTGATTCGCCGTGACGGGTTCAAGTTTGAGTTGTTTCTCTTTATCCCGTTGGCTTTTGATGCATTGGTATGCAATATCACTCTCTTCATCGGACCAGTTGCCTCCTGTCGCCCAAGGTTTAGAAGCATTGTCTCTGGATCCAGTTTGGAACCCAACGTCACTTTGAGAGTCAGCCTCTCCCTCATAGTCTTCAATTTCCTCATCGTATTTCTCTTCGTCCTCCGTATCACTGTAGTCCCAAGGAATAGATAGACCTTTCTTCGACGATTTAGGTTTAGGTGGTTGATTCAAACGCATCCATTTAACATAAATGGCATTTGCTTGACGATCGAATCCGTATACCTTCATTTCATCGGCGACCTTCTCCCAGAATGGATTACTTTGACCACGTGTAAGAACATATTCCTGACGGCTACAAATTTCCTTTAGTCTAGCAATCTCTTCAGATTGCCATCTTTTGACCTTTCCCATCGCAAGATCTTCTGGTATTAGTAATTGATCCAAATAGAATTAGACAAGAAAGATGGTTGTGGTAGCAAAGAACTAGGTATTAGTTGATAGACCAAATGAATGTTGAAGTTCTATGATTGTTTAAAAGTATTTGAAGATAATCCCCGGGAAGACGGGAAGGCGCTTAACCAAACGTGCTGTGCCGCAACAGGCTTATCGCGTGAAGTCTATTTTAAACGTATCCAGGCGCGTGTTGATAAGTCTAAACTGAAGGGTCACATGCACACGCGATCTTCTCCTACATTGACGGGATATAATATAGGACTTTAATTTAATGGTAGATGTTTATCAGAAGAATCATGCCTTCATCTCAATGCACAGATTCATTGCCATTAGGAGCCACGAAGATTTATTCTCAACATCTCTACTATCGACCAGAATATTGTTTATGATACGCTCTCCTAGGCAGTTTATTAATTTGGTCCACCCTTTTACATATATAAGAAGAGGCGAGCCGATTCGTCTGCTTGCTTTTCCAAAGATTTTATCAATCCACATCCAATGACCAACGAGGTTTATGTGTTTTGTTTCAAGGATTCTTGCAGATTATAGATGATCTGTTTCTTCTTTCCAAGAACTATTTTCTGTAATTGTGCAACTGGCTTCTCTTCTCGAGAGTTTGTTGAGTGATCGTCATTTTCTGCTTGTCGACCTCTTTGTTCGATTTCAGCGACTTCGATTAAACTCTTCAACTGTGGGAATGTAGAGATCTCCTGCACTCTTAAGGAAACTTCTCGACGCTTACATTCTGGGAGCTATTTTTTTTTTGCTATTAGAATTCTAGTTTCGGGGGTGTCAGGTAATGTTGAAATGTCGTTGTTAGCTGCAAGTCTAGAGACGCTTGTAATTCTACTGAACTTACTCATAATTGACATAACACATCCGCTTCCATTTGATCTGACTAGTGAAATATCATCTGATAGGTATATCAGAGACTGGAGCGTAGGATTGGGGGGTGAATGAATGAGCATCACTTCTTGGAAAATTTGTTGGCTCATGTAGCATATGAGATTCATTTTACATAATTTCATGGAGTAGAAGCTTGCACTTCAGATTTGTAACCAAAGTTGTATCATATGCCCGCAAAATCCAACGCGGCAACCTCTGAAGTACCGCCAAGATAGATACTCTAAATTGTGCTGACCCTTACAAAAGGGCAGAACCATGCTCCTGTCATCACATACTTCTCTTTTTTGAAGAACCTCTCACTCGATCACCTGTAATACCATTCGCATCCAATCCGCTGAACCACTTCCCCAACCATTTCTCTTGCTCCTCATCCACCCCGCACAACAAAATTCCCTTCAAAGTCTCAACTCCATAATCCTTATACCTCAATTCCGGCACTACATAACGAAGCTCATCTGCCCATTTACCTGTTTTCTTGAGTTTGCGTCTTCTCAATGGCAGTCCTAACATTTTCCGAGTTTCGCCATCTGGATCGTCGTCGAGTGGACGAAAGGGACGTTTGATTGGGGATTTGACTTTCTGGAGTAGGGATTGGTCAGTGCATGTCGCGAGGAACTAGAAACGGATCGGAAGAGTCTTACTTCTTTCCCCGCCAGGGCATTCTTTACTAATTCCAATTCCTTTTGTTGCTTTCTTTTCTCAAATTCGGAGATGGGCTCGGGGAGGTTTCCAGTAGCTGTCCGATTTATCAGTATCAAGAAATGATCGAATGTTGGGCAAAAGCCATACCTCGTAGTGCATTATCTTTCTCCCTTTTTTCTTGAGCCTCTAAGCGCTCGATGGATCGTAGCAGACGATCGCGCTCTTTAGCACTGACAGCTCTTTCATGAGAATTCTTGGAGGAAGTATCAATGACAGCGAGAAGCTGCTTTCTAAGTTCCTCGATCCGAATCCTTAATTCAGACTTCGGTTTCGTCTCATATCTAACTGCAAATGGCGTGTTTGAATTTCTCAATCTTTCCAGTGGGGCTTCATAGTCTTCTTCATTTTCACCAAATATGTTCCGAAAGGTATTTCTTTCCGGCTCTTCGTAGGTTTTCGGCTGAGCTGATAGCATGGAAGCTTCCTTTGTAATTCTTGGGAGATCATTTTCTGTGGGGACCTGAAGTTTAGCTTTCGTAACCTCTCTGCGAAGGAAAGCTTGGAGACCGAGTTTTCTTGTCATTACGATAGGTCACAGAGGTGGAGGTGCAAATACTTGGTGTTTTGGAGAAAAAAAGACAAAGAGTCGGTATCAATACGTAGACTTCCCGCAAAGGGTTTGATTTGATAACGAATGATTGATTTACTAAACTAGCTCAAAGAGCGGGGTAAGCGCAGGACACTGGTGAATATCAGATATATCCCACAAAATACTGACAGCATTTCCCCCTGAATTCATTCGGCAGTGAAAATAAGGATTGGAAAATCCATAGCACCATGACAATAGTATTCCAGAACCACCAGTGGGTGTACGGACTGATGGGACACTGCAAAAATTGACTTGTGAATATTTATTTATGTATTGAATCGTATATCTTAAAAATTCTCACAATTGTTCATTAGAATTGAAACAATCGAATTGTGAATTATGATGTCAAACAATTGAAGATTGAATTTATTAAATATTTCGAAGGTTGGGAAGTGTCCTATCAACCCGTGCACCCACTGGTGAACCTCGCCAGGAAACACAAAGAGAGATAGGTATCGACCAGCTATATTTGAGCAGGCTCAGTTACCAGTTTGATATCTTGAGGGTCTATAGCAACTACCTGGGTATGTAAGAAATCACAACTCGACGAATCCAATGAAAAGTGATTTGCTGGCAACTTAGCTACTTGGCTAAATCCAAATCTGCAAATGCACTAGCACTGATTGAAGGGTTGCTACAAATTTGATCAATTCGAAATCTGGGTATTGTTATCTATAAATGAGAGCAAGGGTTTTGTCACTTCGAGTATTAGTCCGATTTGAGGCAAAACTTACATTGATCTTGTTGGTCCCCTTCGTTTCGTTCATCTCACCTTTCAAAAACGTATCATACAATTTCAGCTTTGCCGATAGTATTTTATTATGACTAGGTAGCGTGGACAGCTGCTATTTGACTTTGGTCTTACTTATCTCCTACCTCTTTTTTCGTAAAAGCTTGACAGCTTTCGGTCTTCATCAACAACAGGGAATCCGTCCACGTTGTATCATATAATCATCGTAAGTATTATCATCTTGCTTATCTTACGTTCAGAGTTTTCAAATTGTTTTCAGAAATAGATACTGACTTCTCAAATTTGCAGCCTATCGATAAAGATGGAAGCCGATTCTGAACAGTCGATGGGAGAAACAGCTGCAAGTTGGACCTGGAGCTTACCGGAGGAAGACTGTCTAACTCGGCTCATGAAAAAACACAAGAAAAGAGTTGAAGAGGGTGAGATTCCCCAGGGCATTCTATTCGACGAGGTATCTGTCGGGCTCAATGGACTAGGATTTGGTATACAAAGAACTAGTGCTGCGTGTAACCGTAAATGGCGTCGAATGTGCGACAGTCAATCAATGCTGCGTGGCGACACATTATCAAATGGCTCAAATTGGAAATTTGTCTTTGGTGAAGCTGCAGACTTTATTACAGATGATGAGGATGAAGTTGACAAAGGTCCCATCGACTTAATTGATAAGAACCAGAAGACAAGTAAACCTCCATGGAGCGAGGAAGAATCGAGAACCGTCTACGAGGAAAGTAAAACTCTTCAGGAATTGAACAATCAAGGGGGATCACCCAAGTTTACTAATACAAGCCAACTTTTCAATCAAGTATCCGCGCTGCACAGAGTTAAAGGTTATCCCAGATCTTCAAATGCTTGCAATCGCTATTGGGAGACCACAGGTCGCGAGTTGTGGGACTACTATGAGCAGATCGTTGGCGATTTCAAGGTCAGTTTTCAAATTTATGGCTTGCATCAAATACTCTAACATATTTCAGACAAAGGATGCACTCAATGCAAAGTGTACTGAACCCATTTCTGGAATGAATGATACAGCACTAAGGGTGACCAAAAATTCAGGAAGCGTCCTTACTAAAAGTCAAATAAGCGTATTGAGTCAATTAGCCACAGAATCACTCAATCCATCCACGGAGCAAAAGGAGAAAGTTGCGAAGGATCATGGCATTAGTGTCTTCCGGATTTCGGTATGCTTGACTTCCCACCATACGCCCCAAAAGTCTTACTTTCTAACGATATTTTCAGGCCTATTTCGCAAACAAGAGGTCTAGTCAAAGGAAGGAAATGGCAAAACACGCGTTAGACCACGAAAGTTCCAAAAGGAAGCAGTCTGGAAGGCTGGACGCAGAGTTCGCTGATGGTAATGAGTCGATTGTTGCTCGAGCAGATGATGCTTTGAGGGACACAAAGAAACCCAGACTTTCGAGTTCCTCCCAGATGGTACCAATCAATGATAATAGAAGTGCTCAGGAAGTTCTAGCTATCGAAAAAGTGAGCATTGATGTGCTGCAATATATATCACATTTGTGCAATGCTAACTTGTAGCTAGGATGCTCTCCAGGATCTCACTATGCCTGCACTCCGCTCAACCACTTCTGAGAAAGAGTTCGGTTCATCCTATGCCCCTATCGAAATCGACTCACCACCTCTGCAGTCCTCCGAGCCTCGGAAGATCAGTTTGAACAACGGCCTTTATACAACAGAATTTAAAGAAGCGATGCTCACTCAACGTCGTCTGATGGAGGAGCAGATCACGGAGCTGACAACAAGAAAGGAGAAGTTGTTGAAAAAGGCCCTCGCGCATAAAGTGACAGCAGACCTAGAAATCGAGGCTTATACCGCTGTACAAAAGAAAGTCGTCGAGGAAGAGAACTTTGAAGCTGTATTGCGAGCTGAATTGAAGCGTATCAAGGACTGGGAGGGAATTTTGATTCACAAGTGATTGAAATCTGTTGCTGAGGAAGGGGATATGAGTTTTCCGTTCGTTTATACATTTAAAAAAAGTGAGGTAGATGATGCTTACTACACAGAAGGTATTAGAAGATATTATGCAATTAGCATTGGCTTGTAACAATCTGAGTTGCGAGGTCTCTTATTCTTTGTAGTTAGATCAAAAAGGAAGCGCTACATGTAGGACAGATAGCAGATGCACCGAGTAACAATATAGCAATAAATTCATAAACTCATAAAGCACAAGGCACTCCCCAACCTTCAAAGCTATGAGGAATCCACTCTAGAATCGATTGACCACGAAAATAATAGATACATCATACTAGGGTTTGGCATGTAGTGAATGATCATGAAGCTTCTTGATGCAAGAGCACCAGCCCAACCGTTTCGTCATTGCATGTCTATATTGACCCACGGTTGACAGATGATTTTCCACAAACTTGTCATTCTACGGGTCACTACCTAGAATAACTTAAATTAAAAGAATAAGTGAATATCATGATCCAAAACCCCTCATCTTATTCTAAAGTCAACCACACCCAGCAGCAATCTCCGAGGCGCCACCTCTTCTCGTCCGAAGGTTGATGGAAATGACTATCTACTTTACCACACGAAGCTAAACCTCTTTCAACCACTTCTGTAAGCACCGCCCTTCCATACACTTGATATCACACCGGGGAATCATATATTCCGCTTGTACTGACAGATAATTTGACACGCTAGTGGGACGTACCGAGAGGAGTCAAATATTGTACTTTTTCATTTCGCGACCAAACCATCCTTCTGTTTTCTTGTCAACAACCACCACCTTTGGGCCACCTAACGTCCAACTTCTGTATCGGTTCTTTTACACCCTCTGTGCATGTTCTGCGCTGAATGTACTTATTTGCAAAATTCAATTCATTCAAATATCGAGTTAAATTTTTTGAATTGTTTTTCCTACCAGCCTCGTGTTGAGAATTGAGTAGCACAAACTCTCTTGAAACGACATCATCTCATCCATCAACACCCACTCACTCCCAACAACATCAAATCATCGAGTCACCTACTGCCTTGTGCACGTTGGAATTACTTTATCATCTCTTCAATCTTCACCCTCCTCATTCTTCCGATTACAAAGCAAATCTACGATTCAAATTTTCAGTAGAATGGCGCCACCTGATCAGACTTCTGTCAAGGAGGCACAAGCTCCTACCAAGGATGCCGAGGTAGAGCAAGCAGACAAGCAGACAAGCAGAAACAGGCAGAAAAGGAAGATGTCTCGACACTTCGATCACCAAGTCTCTACAACAACGGTGTCGGAGATGTCAATCAAGAGCTTAATCGAAGACTCAATAAAGAGGCCAATCGAGGGGTTAATCAACAGGTCAATCAGGGGGTCAAAAAGCGTCCTTTATACAAACAATGGTCCAAAAGGGAAGAAACGATCGTCCAAGACATCATTGACAACCACAGTACCAACCCAGCAACATCTAAAATGGACTTCAAGGAGCTGGATAGATATTCAGTCAAGAAGCTAGCAGAGGCAGGATTCGTGCGAACACTTTTGGGAGTTACTGATTTCCGGGGAAGAAACCTTTGCAAAATCGATTACAGCAAGGTTTGTGATCTTGTTGCTAATATGCCCGAGTCAATTCGTGACATGGAAGCAAGAGAAGGTTATGGGAATCTGCCGCAGTGGCAAGCGATCCTGTTCGTAGACGAAGTACAGTCGCTTCCCAGAGTGCAAGTGAGTTATGAATCATTGTTTAACACGAATCATTCTGAACCTTTAGCTTCATCACAGGAGTGGAATACTTTGAGCAGAATAATGAACAGCCAATTCGCTCGTAATGGCAAGCGGGATTACGAAGAGTACAACAGCGGTCTGGCAGGAGAGAGTAGCACCAATGCTGCTGCTGCTGCTGCTGCTACTCAGAAACCGCAAGCACAGACATTTCCCATGGGAACTAACGGCGTACTTAAACCAGTAACCAATTTCCCTTTTGTCATCTTGAAACTTGATCAGCAGAACTTCTTGCTAACATAGAACAGCAGCAGGGCTTCCCAAAGACTCCTGGAACCAAATCCTGTGAAGTTGCCAAGATGCAAAGTGAGACGGGTTTAAACATGCCGCCAGCATCAAAGCGGATGTGTGTCACCAATAACAGCAAGGAAAATCCCATTGAGATCCGGGACGATTCGCCATTAAGTCAATCGCAGTCAGAGAGTGATCGAATTGAACTAGCCAGAGGTTCAATAGCAAATCTAGAAAAGATGACGTTGAGCTGTCTCGAAATAAAGATGTGGTGTGAGATGAGTGCAGTGGAATATGAGGCGAAGAGTAAGGAAGCAGTAGAGATGGCAGCCAAGTACAAGAAGAAAGCTATTGAGAAATTGGACGAGATCCTCAAAATCCACAGATTAAATCCAGAGTTCAAAGACTATAAGCCATTCCAATAAATATACAATTAACTGGCTTTGGATCTAAAGACGACGATGAAAAGAATGTTTGAAATGAAGTGTGAAATGAAATGAAATGGAATGACTCAAGACCTGCCTCCAATAGATTTATTAATTCAGGATTTACAACTAAGCAGTAGTCCGCAAGATGTACAATTGAGAAGCTAGCATTAAAGTATTGTTCTCCATGATATTAAGCGAGAGACTAGAAAAGTCTCGTTAACAGCAACGTATTCCAAGCGCTCTCATTCAATTTTTGCTGCTTATACCCTTCATGTTTTCTTCGGGTCGGGTTGGTTTTGGTCCATCGTCAGAAAGAACAATTTCAACTCGGAATATCAAAAAGTTGAGGGGGAGATAGCTCATGGGGAGTTTCCGGATTTTGAGTGATATTATGCGTTCTTTCCCATGATCTAAATGAGGTTAAATATGACAGACTTGGTACAGGAGGTATGACAGGATAAGAGAGGTCTACAATAGTACTGCTGGTAAGATCATCAGTCGTACCGAATGAACTCTGAGAGTTCCCATCGAGACGATAACTTTTCGGCTACAAACAAACGCAAGGCAGGCCATGTCTCAAATTATGGTACCGGCGTTGCGAACGGAATACATGACAGATCCCGGTGCGGAATGACCAAATAGAAAAATTCCCCGCTTATTATGCTACTTGCTATATAGGTGGACTACCCCTTATAGAACACTGGTGTATCCTTGTGGCCATCAAATAAATTCATAGAAACCTAATTTGCAACTTCCGCGCCTACTAAATTCAAAGGCATTGTCATTTCTTCAACGATGAACAGGCAATCTTGATAGAATTCCAAATTCAGACTGACAAACAAGATGCTAGGAAAATCCACAAACTCAACAAGAATTATCATCATTTCTCTATGGACACGGGAACAATCTATCTACCCCAGTCAAGTAAAACCTCTTAACATATAAGCGGCAGTGCTAGTCACACGAAAATGATATACAATTCCACTTGTCAGTTTGTCCAAGGAACTATCGTTGAGTATGTCACTGAGCCCTCCAGCTAATCAGACAACCATTCGGCTATCACAACATCGATTTTCATATTGATAATTTGTTTCACTGAAACATCGAACCAACGTGTACTCACACGCCAAACTTAGATATATCACCTTAGAATACATCAACTCTAGCCGACCGCCTTGAATACGAAACAAAGTCATGGTCCAGGTAGGGCTGAAGAGGAGCGGAAGGAATGGTGAAGTGCGAGTGGGGGACAAATGATGGCCAAATATGCGTGTCAGACTGTACGGCCTTTTATGCATATTATGTGATATGTGATGGGATTGGATGACTGTTGATGTTTATGCTTAACTTTATTATAGTTTGTGTTACGCCGGGCGTTGGTTTCATGTACGATAATAGGTGTCACCCAGAAAGTAGGTTGGTAGATGCTGAGTAGGTAGGTATCAGTTTCAGGCCCGATGAGATTAGGGGCTGAGCTTTGAGTTAATTCATGGGGATAACTGTCAGTTGGTTGGAGAGAGTTGGTGAGTGTCATTGAGGCGGGAGTTGGAAATGACCAGCGATATGTTGGTGGTTCGATACTCATTGTACGGGTGCTATGTAGCAAATTGTGCTTGGTATGGATCATAGAGAATATCCAAGCTCGTGACAGCTTCTCCCCCCTCTCGGTGTGGCACACCTCCAGATCCAACAAGAACGACGTCGAACTTATTCACGTGACCATTTCAACTCCCCTGCTCTCCCACCAACGAAAAGGCCGCGGCACTGATGACCGACATGAAACTTTTGGTAAGCGACAGGGACAATGATCTGGATGAAGGGTCTAGAACGGACTTGTATTCCTGTGATTTGCTCTCCACAAATAATCTCCCTTTGAAATTCAATCAGACAGGGTCAACTCTGGACTCAGAAGAAAAGGATATGATATCTCATCCCTAGATCCCATAGTTTCTGCAACTCCCTTTGTGATTGGGGTGATCAATATGCCATGGGTGAGAATTTCTGGTTGGAAAACGCGGTCGAAACAAAACCAGGCGGTTCTTTAAGGAGGATCATCAAATTGACGCTGAAACATCGATGTAATGTTTTAGGACAGGACAGATAGGCGGAATTGCCGAATTAGGCATTGGCAATCGAATTATCTTTCTCAGCTGATAATTTGGTCCTTCTCGAATCATAACAATGGATAGGAAAGTCGACGTAAGAGCAATTTAGGGTTAATTCTTCCGATGAACTATTTTCAACCTAGCAGCTACGTAAATTATGTACTCAGCCTCGTCCAAGGAGTTCGAAGTAAAGATTCAAAATCAAGGGGAAATTGTCAAACGGGACATGTGGGTAGCCGCGTGTTTGAATAGAATCAAGCGTTATTTGAGATGTGGTGTATCTAGTAATCGAAGAAGCGGTAAATCATCAACATTACTCCCGGCGACCAACAGGAGGATTGTCGAGGTACATACTATAGTCTGGTTCTTGACTACTAGCCAGACCTTTGGCATCCTTCTCGATGGACCAGCCTTTCCAATGTTGAGAGGTTTAAGATTTACTTATGGGAGTCTTCAAAAAGAAGTTTCGCGGAGTATCGACCGTAACAACGAGTATCATGTGCAAAGAGCACTCATATCTATCCCGGCTTTGAGTGGCAGCGGTACTGTATGACGACAATCTTGTAATACGAAGAACACGATGTTATTCAAGATGCTTGGGAATTGGTGGCGAATGAGTAAGTACCTGGTATGTATATGTATAATTTCACGAGGACAATATCAACATCCTCATTCGCACACAAGGACTCCATCTTTTCATCTTATATGTATACACCATCTGTTTGGGATCATTGAATACAAACACGCCTCTGAGCATGGGGGAAATTATCTTCTACTGGCAAAATCCATGGGTTACAGCATAAATAACACGAGATGAAAGGATGCATTGTGGAAGTTTATATCGCCACGTTCGTCTTCTCTACATGCCATCTTTCGATCAACGAATCAGATGTGTCCCGTCCTTATGTTCATCGCGACATCTCCTTGGTTGAGGGTCTATATTTGAAACTCTTAAAAGTGCCACCATGCAAGAATAATCGCATCTCGTAGGCTAAACACTCTCTTGGTTCCATCTACCCATGGTTATTCCTGGTCTCAGATCAAACTCTGTTGGAACATTGAAATGTCGGGTCATTTGCATGTATTGACTGAGTTCCGAAGATTCATTATATCTTTCGGCATCGGAGAACAATGGGAGGAGGTCCTACCTGTGTGTAGAAACCAGCTGTAATTATATATATTTGAGAAAATGTGAGGAGTACAGACGACATCCAACCTTCCCATTCCTAGAGATAAATATATGAGACCACAATGTGCAGAAAGACGAACATCGATATTCCTTACTGTGACCATTCTCCCTGTACCTTACGCCATCAAGGAGAATATGAATATCCCTACCGAGCAACGAATATACAACTGATACATATTCCCCATCCATACCTGCAGATCAAATCTGCAGCGGTAATTAAATTCTGAGGGTTTGGTATCTCGAATGGTCATCTTTCTTGTAGCTACCCATATAAAGGGTTCACGGTATTGTTGAACTACAACATGATGAGCTACAGTAGATTGCTTTCCGAGAGACAAATAACTAAGAATAAATTGAAGAATACTCCGGCGGTAAGGGGAGGCGTTTGTGGGTAATTTACTTAGGTAGTTGAAGGAGCAATCTCACATCTACGAATACGCATCGAGAGAAAGATACTTCTACAGAAAAGTTAATCTTCATATCACACTATATTCCACTCTATATCGTACCAAATTGGTACTCAATTCGGCCCAAATGCTCGATTGATTCACTATATTCGGAATCAGAGCGGTCTCGTATGTTTATGTTATATAATTTTATCACCATCTTGGGTTCTAGAGGCTTAGACCATGGGAGTTGTCTCATCTCACGACTTCCAATTCTAATTCCAACAACGTACTGCACAGAACTGCTACCAGTAGATACTCTGCCCAGTGCCCACCATCGACCGACCCCCTTTGGAATATATGCTGGTCGCTAGAGGATCATTAGCCTTTCCTTCTACTCGAATTCCCAAAATCTCACCTACCTCAAGCCTACTTGGCCATTTTTGTCTCATCTGATCTGAGTCCAAGGGAACTTCTAGACCACTTCCTCATTGATAAGTGTACGAACGTGCCAACCAAACTCACACTGCGACCACGGTGAAGCAACAAACAAAGATACACCGTTTGGCATAAACTTTCTTTTCTTAGTCTAGCCCTTCGTCTTCTCCTTCGTTGTTACCTAGTATTTCTATACTTGCTGTACTGAGGACTAAGATTACGTTTATATTGGTACTGGTACAGGTACTGACCTACTTATCGATAATACATTTAACAGCAGGCTGAACAAGAAGTCTCACACCTCAAAAAGTCGAACCGAATCGCAACGACATTCAATCGATATCAGCAGTAATTCAAAGGGTATATTGATTTGATTTTGGATGAATTCGTCCGACATATATCTCATATCGTTCTCCAACAGTCCACAGTTCATCCATCCCTCAATCTTTTTCCGTCACTACTAGACATTACTTCTTCTCTCACCTCACCTGTCTATTCTCTCCCATAGACGATAACAACCCTTCAACTCATTTTCTCCACCCAACTCAATTGACCCTCGAACTTCGCGAATCAAGCTCTAGGAACGTTTCTTTGATGATCGTCTATTCGCACTAGCTTCTTTTCCCCTTGCGAACTTGCATACCTCCGTAAACAATTCTCGAATCTCCTACCGACCGTGCGCTTTTACACTCTAGAAACCGACAAACCTAACGTCGAGGGATCGCATCTGTCAATTCATGTTCAGCCTGGGTCCACCGTCCGTGATACTCGAGGAGGAAGTGTATCTGCAGAAATAGAAGGACATCAAAAGGGTTTCTTTCGAGGGTCGCTCCTCACATACATTTGGCAAGATGGAATCGCCAGACAATAGTACATATTTGGAATCCCCTATGGAGGGTGACGATGTGGCATATCCGTGTAAAGGATGTGGTGATGTGAGTGTTCCCATCCCATGCACCCATAATGTGTTTACGAATCTGCCACTAAAAGTGATTTTTTTGCACAGATCCTCGAGGAGGGGAAAGCCTTCGAACTTGGTAAGTTGTGAACTATCCCACGATCTTCTTCAATTTCTTTACTATGCGTTACGTTGCTTGATTTGATTTGAGCCTCGAGTTGTACATTGAATATCCGAGAAATCAATCAAATGAACCCTCCGACCTCGAAATTTAATAATTCTAACGATCCTGTAGCTGGCAATCGATGGCATTTAAATTGCTTCCGATGCAATACTTGCGGAACTCTCCTAGATTCCGATGCGAATTTGTTACTCCTGGGTGACGGGTCCCTTATCTGCAATAATTGCACTTATAGCTGCAGTGCTTGCAATAACAAAATCGAAGACCTCGCCATCCTCACCGGTGACCAAGCATTTTGTGCAACATGCTTTCGATGCAGGAACTGCAAACGCAAGATCGAAAACCTTCGTTATGCTCGCACGTCTCAGGGAATATTTTGTATGAGCTGTCATGAATCACTAATGGCTAGGCGGCGTAAAAAGTCGAGAGCCGCTGCGAATGCGAAGAAAAAAGACGATCAATCTCCCATGCTTGTCGATAAATCACTACCCGCCCTACCACCGAACGCTGTTCCACAAAGCGCCTTCTCCCCTGAACGTGAGATCCCGGATCCTCACAATGCAGATAACCCTACAGAATTATCACCCAGGCCGCGGCCAACATATTCTCGTACAGATTCCTCATCTAGGAGTAGTTCTCAAAAACCTCGCGATGATACTTCCTCTCATCGAGCCTCCACCGATACTACAGGCCGAGATGGATTGACGCTTCCAACGACGACGTATCGAAACAATAGATATTCGGGGATATCGCAAATGTCTGAGATTGGAAATGGGGATGGGGAGAGCTTTTTCATACCTCTCGCTCTGGACCCAAGCCCTGCGCCATCCTTGACACCAAGATCTACGTCGACATCATGGGACACAAAGAAGGCGAAAGAGAACCAGGCACCAGATCGAGATTACTTTGGCGCGAAAGACAATTTGCGAAGTCAAACGGAACCACAGCCACAGAGACGATCAAGGGATTTGAGGGAGGCGAGTTCAACGTCAACACCGCACATCGCATTCCAAGACAAAAATCAACCATCCGATGAACAGTTGGCACAGATTAAGGACAGCTTACGCAGAGCAGCAAACGGCACAGGCACACCTGCCAAAGAATCTTCCGCATCTATGAGTGATGATACTCTATTGCAACATGCAACCTCGCCAACCGCTGACGCCCCTGATGGAAAGACACAAGGATCTAGTGAAAAGTTCAGGTTAGGTGATGTGCCAAAGGGAAAGCGGACTGGAACAACTAGGAGTGATTCTCAATCGGATTATACTGGCAGCGAGAGCAACTCCTCGAAATCTGCCATTTCCAACACACCCACTAGGAAAGACAGCAACATGCCAAAAATGGACTCTCCAAGGACTCTTATGGCAGCAGACCAGATCACGTCCAGATCTTCACTGGAATCACGACCAAAGGACATGGAAAATTCTGCTATTTCAAGAGTTAATTCTGGAAGTTCCAAAGTCTCAATACCCCGTAAGGTGATAGCCTCAGGGCCAGTGAAAAGTCACGTTAGCACAATGAGCTTATCTTCCGGAACGGAAACCTCTCCATCCACGGAATCTTCTTCAGAAGGAACAGCTCATACTCCGACAGTGAATGGCAAATCAATCTCTGGCCCCTTGTTACAATCGCCTATAGATGATATGGCACCTCCAAGTCGCTCGTCAACTCGCCCTTCTATACCAAAACAACAACTGAGTGATACATACATGACTCCAAGGGCGCCCCCAGCGCCGCCATCGGCAGGCTCGAATGGTACCGCTTCATCGCCCAATCTACCAAGGTGGAGTGCTGGCGGTGATCTTACCATGGATGAAGATATGGCTAGGATATTTGGCAATGATGAAGGCTCACAATCTATAATTCGCAGGGTTTCCAACGCTGTACGCCACGTTCGAAATACCAGTAGTGAAGCAAGTACTTCTGCCCGTGGCCATGGTCGTAGCGTCAGCGAAACAACTGCACGTACTCCTAACTCTCCACGATGGCCCAAAACACCAATTATAGAAGACACTAGCGGACCTAGAGATATTAGTAGCCCGATTTCTATAAGCTCGCCAAATCCTGGGGATGATCCGGCTTTGCTAAGGAGGCAACTTCGCAATTCCGAACAAAGAGTTGCAGAACTTGAGAGACAATTCGTAAACGAGAAAGATTTGAAAACACTAAACAAAAAACTCATCGAAAAGCGAAAGACTGTCTCGGTTCTAGATTCTCAAACGGAACTTATGATCCGCCAATTAGAGGTTCTTGCTGGCTATGTGGAACGTGCCAAAGGTTCGAACCAACCACTTGACATTGCTGAGCTGGAAGATTCTGCCATCAAAGAATTTGTTCAAAAGCTTGATCGCCTTAAACAGTCGATGTCTGGCGCAATTGAACAACTCTTTGAGGAGCGAGATGAACTACTAGAAGAAAAGAACCAAGCTATTGCCGATCGTGATAGAGCTTTAGTTGAGTTTGAGCAATTATCGTCTAAAAATGCACAACTTGCAGACATGAACAATGATCTTACCCACCAAATCCAGGAACGCTTCAAATCGGCCAATACCAATATAGAAAGCCCAAGGCCATTAACAAACGGTCTGGGAATCTACACTCACCATAACAAGGATAAGTCTAACGTTTCCGTGCATCTAGATAATGCAAGCCTCCGCCCATCGGAAAGCAGTAGTGTTACCTACAATAATTCGATCAATAGCTATCCACACCCAATGGAACAGGATCCCAGCATGGAGCCAGCGACGTTACTATCAGCTCCCCATGTCGTCAATATCCGCAAGGGACAAGCAAAAAAATTCAACTGGAAGAAGGGTGGCCAAACTGTCGCTAAGGGAGTCACTAAAGGTTTTAAGGGTGCTTTCTCCAGCGGACAAGAACGGCCATTAAACCAATGGCCAGGTCAGACTGGTGATAACATCGGCATGCCTTACAACATGACTATGGAGCACGTGCAATCTCCGGCACCAAATGCGTCCGGGGCAAGCTTACCCAGGTCTACATCAAACGACCCCTCGCGCCAAGGGTTCGGGTTATTTAAGAAATCACAATCAATGCCAAAGTCGATGTCCAGTGGTAACATTCTTGCCGCTGAGAGTCCCTCAACTCTGTTCGGTTCTGATCTTGTTGAAAGAGCTGATTATGAGCGTCGGCAAATTCCAAGTGTGGTCACTCGCTGCATTGAAGAAGTTGAATTGCGTGGAATGGACATTGAGGGTATTTATCGAAAGACTGGAGGTACTGGGCAAGTCAACATCATCAAAGAAGGATTTGATAAGACTGAAGACTATGATATCTCGGATCCCGACCTCGATATCACCGCAGTCACCAGTGTTTTGAAACAATATTTCCGAAAGCTCCCTGTACCACTTTTGACCTTCGATGTTTATGATCGAGTGTTAGAATCAATCTGTAAGTTCGATCTCACATTCTGATAGAAAATTACCTGCTAATACAACAACTATAGCTATCGAAGACAACGCAGAACGCTGCACACATCTACGGAACACAGTCAATATGTTACCTCCCAAACATCGTGATTGTCTTGAGTTTTTGATTTTCCATCTTGTGCGTGTGGCAAAACGAGAAAGCGAGAACTTGGTATGTTCATTTGTATACAATGGTCTTCTGATATACTAATTATTCGTAACAGATGACACCTAAAAATCTGGCAGTGGTGTTTGCACCGACCATCATGCGTGATCATAGCTTAGACCGTGAGATGACGGATATGCACGCCAAGAATCAAGCTGTTCAGTTTGTCATCGAGAACAGTTACGACATATTTGCTGGTGCTTAGAGAAGCTTATAACCTTACCACGAATCCTCTATGACTTTACACTTCTGAATGATTGGAATCTTTAGCTTTTTTTATCTTTTGTTTCGCTTTCAACATCAGATACGCAAAAAGCATCAAGATGTATATTCTTTTTTGCACTCATGTTTAGCAAGGTGATGGGTGGGGCGTTAGTTCTGGAAAGCGAATGAATGATAGACCGATTTTTTTGATCGGTAACAGATGATTGAGAGAGAAATTTACATTTTATGGCGTTTTTGTAACTGCCTTACTTGCTTATGTGTTTTTTGATTGATGATTATTTGATTTGATGTTTGAATGGCTGGGAATTTACGTACTTGCTTGCTTCCTAGCTTTCTTTTCTCTTCCTCCAAGTCGAGCTAATTGATAGGCTTTCATGTCTTGGACCGTGTGTCTTGGGAATGCATATTGAGAAAGGTAGGGTAGGGAAGGGGGAATGATATGATTACTAGGTATCGTGCATTTCACACGACAAGACGTTTCAGGGAAGGATAGTTCTGGCATTGGCTTGGGGGTAGAGTGTGAGAGAGGGTTCATCTTAGCTTACGCAGGAGGGAGAATACTAGATCGACAGCATGGTTTATTTATGGGTTGATGTTTTTACGTGGTGAGGTGGTGGTTTTAATGGTTATTATGCGTGGGATGTTGTAGGTGTTAGTTATGTGTGTATGCATGTTTGTATTTAGAACAGTCAAGTTAGTTAACCAGGGAATGATTATGCGTTAATGTTATATGATATATGATATAGGGGATCTTTAAGTGTGCGGGTGTGTATGGATGGGTGGGTATCTGATTATATAAATAAAGGGATGGATAAATAGACGACTGAAGAAACGAATGGATATGGATAAACAAAGGAGTAGATGGATGGATTATCACCCCACGCAAATCCAAATGGATAAAGAGATGGACTTATTTCGATCGACCCAGTCTCACATTTCATCTTCTCTTCCTTATATATCATACCATATCACTCCCTAGCTACATCTATATCTACATCCATACCCGCATCTGCATCTGCATTCATATCTACATACCACACTGTCAATCCCCAACCCCCATCAACTAACCTCATCAACTCATCAACACACATCTTCCAACCTTTTCCCATAAAAACAAAACCCAACATCCCGATTCCTGATTCTCGCTACGCACAACCATCCTCGACTGAATATCTGCCCTTCAGCATACTTTCCACTAATCTGTCTCGCTCATACTACGCCCTTAACAACGCTCGTGGAATTGGAAGATGGAAGATGGAAATTGGAAATTAGAAGATCAAAGATCAAAATCCAGTCTAGCAAACCGGAGGTCAGTTGTTGACTCTATACTCGTAATATGCAAGTAAAATGCAAATAGTCGCCTCCGGATCGGAAATCGGAAATTTACAGTATCGCTCTGTACTGAGTACCTGTATTCAAGCAATGATGCAATGAGTATGTGAATGGCACCGAGGCCACAATGAGCAATCGAAGAAACCTTCACTGGATCAATCATGATCATCACTCAAAATACACAAATAAAGCTCTTCATAAGAACGTACACAAATAAACAAGATTACATCATATAAATGTACTATGACTATGACTACGACACAAACTCTTACGCCTCTGCCAATAACCAGAAAGTTGATATGTAACGTGCACTGCACAACGCCTTGTATCGCCCTTCCATTTTCCCTCGCTGCACAGCAAAGAATCCATCACACCACCCAGAAAATTTCTCCGAAAATATCCAGTCAAAACAAAAGACTTTCGTATTGTACAACGACCTTACTTATCATTCCCTTCGTTCGCCCAAATGAAACATTAGCTTAAGCCACTGTCCTCCGTTCCATGACACTTTCCACACCGTCAACTTCCTACCTCCAACTCCCTCTGCCTCTTGACAATATAGTACGTGATCAAGCTCTTTGGATCACCACTCACTCTTCCACCAATTCCACTCCAAAATCTTGCCTCTCCAATTCTTGCATGCGTACTCACACAGAGTACCACAGCGTCTAGTCTCACTCCGCTCTCCTTGCTCTCAAGACACTTCGCTGCCAATTCCAAGATGCTATCAATTTCCGCATCTTCCAACTCAACATCTGATTCGATATCTAAAGTCTGCTTGAGTATATGTAATCCCATACTAAATTTTCGGCATCCTTCCAAGGTCATTTCTTCGTTGGAGAGGGAATCGAGAATGGTTGTGATGGTCTCTTTGGGATTGGCAAGTGTAACAAGCTCATCGGCGAGAAGTTCGAGGCCACTGACAATATGAGCGCGTGCATCGTAGCAGGATCTAGTCACAAGAATAGAGTGAAAGCCTTTTGCGATATGTGGTCTGAAATACTCTCGGTAATTTTTGTACATGAGTTTGACTGTAGCTAGTATTTGTGCTTTGACATCCTGAACTTTTGCGGGCGAGAGATTTGTTAATGGTTCTTCAAGATATTCAAAAAGTCCTAACAAGAGGGAAGGGAATCTTCCTTCTCCCCATACGGCTTTGTTATCTCTGATCATGGCTTGAAGTTTTCGGAAACCGTGGACGTCTAGAGATTTGGCTCTGATCTTGGAAATACCGCTATCGAGTAATTTCGTGCTTTGTTTGAGTTTATCCGGGGACATTGGTGGGTTCTTAGCTCCCTCACCATCAAATTCGCTAATGCCATTTCTTGACAGGTTCATAGCATCTTCGTTGACAGGCACTTCTTCCAAAACGGATTGAGGACCTCTAGGTCCTGGAGTAGTGGTGTCATCTGTGCTTGAGAAAGGGTCTTCATAAACCTTCATTGGCTGATTGATAGGAGCTTTGATATCTTCCATCTCAGATGGGTCAAAGACCTGGGGGAGTTTCTCGGATTTTATCCGTTCTAACCCTGTAATGGTGGGAACAACCATTGTAAAATCTTCATCTGCTCTTGAAGGACTGGATACAGGTCCAGGTAATCCAGGTACCGATTTAGTTCTTGTCCTAACAGGACTACTGATGTGAGGGGAAGCAGCAAGTCTAGGAGAAGCAGTTGCCACTCGCCCAGATGCACTTTTTGCTGCAGGGCTTGTGTAGGTGGATTGGGTTGGATGATGAGATTGCATGGGATGGCTAGAGTGACTTGTGTTGGGTCTCGGGATTGGAGCTCTTCTAGCTTGGGGAGAGCTGGTAGCAACGGGAGTCTTAGATCTTGGTGGTCTCGCGGATGTGGAGGATGAAGGGCTGGCATTTGCTTCGCTGGAGACTTGATTAGTTCTTCTTACAGAATATGGCCCGGCAGTTGCAGGTCTAGCAGCAAGTTCTGGTCTCTTAGATTTACTTGGTCGCATGGGCGCAACAGAAAGACCTCCACGAGATCCAGTAGCCTCTAAATGTGGTCTCGTGGGAGCTGCTTCTGAAGACGATTGTTTACCTGATGCGGTTGGGACGGTTTTTATTGGAGAAAATGTTGACATCGCAGAACCAGGACGAGTAGGAATAGTCTTGGTGGCCATTTGTGCCTTTTTCTGCGCTAACATAGTCTCCCTCAAAGAAGGTCTAGGAGGTCCAGTAGTGCTCTTGGAGAAACCTAGGCCAGGCCTTGCAGAGCTGACTGCCACTGCCTTTTTTGGTGCATTGGGATTGTCTGGAGAATTCTCTAGTAGCCTCCTCTGAGTCGGTTCTAGATCCTCGATTATTCTAAAACTCGTTAGTCATCATTGAGACCGTGTAGAAATAATTAAACACCTACAACTCAGCCCTTGCTGGCCATATCTGAGCAAAGGTCCAATAAGTCGATCTCATATTCTCGCGAACACCAGGGTTGGCATCGGCTAGACCCTTTTTTATACACTTTTCAATTAGTTCCAAGCCTCCGCTATGTTCAACGTGACTTTTATGTTGCGCCTCCTTCTTCAGCAATGTTTTGAGCCAGCCTGTAGCATATGTCCTAGGCTGAACATTCTTGTCTTGGCATGCGAGCCAGATATGCTGCATAATCCGATGATTATAGGTAACGCCGCTGATGATGATGTCAACCGTCAAATTTCCGTTCTGCGAACTAATTCTCTTAGTTCCACCACAGAGTTTGATAAGGTTTTGTAGAAGAATTTCGACCATAGGATCCAGTCCAGGGCCAGCGGTCCGAGCAATTTCTTGAACGACACTACACCCTTCTTTTGAAAGACTAGTTCTCAATGAATTGACAGCTTTCAAGATACCATCTAGAAGACTTTTGATACCAGCAAGGAAAGCATCATGGTAGTCGCTTGGGGCGTTTCCAGCGTTCAATCTTCGTAACTTTGTACAACTTTGTTCTCTCTTGAACCAATTTGCTTCAGACTCCTTGTCTTGAAACCATTGATGCATTTCTTGAAAAGTTTCCTCCAATTCCCTTTGTGTATTCACATATGCAGGGTCTACTTGCTCAATTTTGACTTCTGGTGTTGCTGGTCTTGAGACGTTCATCGCAGATGCACTACTAGCTAAAGGATTTCGTATAGGGACTTCAGTTCTTTCCGGTTCCACAACTACTGGGGCTCCTCCTTGTATAAGTTGACTCGTGATAGTTGTTACGATCGCTGGTCGAACATTGAAGTTCTTCAACTGCTTCTTGAGATCGGACTTGGCTCCATTGGGGGCATTCCTGTGGCAATTAGAACATGAAAGTAATATGGCCGATGAGAAGAGACTTACTGGAATAAGGTGATGACAGTGTTTCTCGCAGTATCTCTTACCATGCCATCGGCATCTTCGAGTAGCTCCATCAGTGTAGTTACAAAACTTTTGAATGCCATTCCATGCTCTTGGTGCATCTATTTGATACGATAGTTAGAAAGTGTAAACATCCCCACGCCAAAATGCATCTGTTTACCTGCACAATCCAATTCATTGAATTTTCTTTCATCCTTGAGTTCTTTCCTATCAGTCCTGCGTTCTTCACAATTCTTTCTACATCCATCGGCGCATTTTTCCAGAACGTTGTAAGACATTGCGCAGCAAGGTGTCGATATTTCTCCCTCTGGTCGCCCATCTTATCATTTATCATTGGCAGAGTTCGGGCAGCTTCCTTGACAATATACTTTGGTTCCTGGCGTGATAATCTGGTGAGGAGATGATTGAGGGTAGAGAATCCGGCGTTGACTAGCGCGGCGTGCTGCGACGACATCGCTATGCGCAACGCTTCGAATAGTGAAAGTATGCATGGTTCTGGAACGTTGTGTTGTTTGATACTGGATTTGATGTTGTTGATCTGATTGACCTTCGAATCTATCAAAGCATCTGTTCGAAGTGTGGCCAGCAAGTTTGCTACTTGATCTTCGGTGATCTTTTCACCCATGATTGAGGTGGGGTGAAGTTGAAGAAACCGTTAATATCAAATCAGGATATGTGCCTATCTGTAGATGAGATGTGCTGTCAGTGATTGTGAGAATAGAGAAGGTTATGCACCATATGGTATTTGGTTGTTGAAGAGATGATAAAGTAGCACAATATTCACATTAAGAAGTAATCAAATTTGGAGACACTTACGATGATGTTGTACAAGGTTTGCTATGTAACTTTCCAAATTCCCTTTGAAGATAAATCTGTCGCGTCAAAACAAATTATGGTTGCCCGGGCAGGGGAAGCACGGACTAGTCTCAGAGCTTCCATTATTATAAATACGATCAGACCCCAGCAAGAGGAGACCAGCCAGTCAGATTGGTAAGAAACATGAACATTTCTATCCCTCCTCATTGGACATGTAAACACTATTGTTGACAACCTTGGAACCTATCATCTCGATATTGATTCCTGTTCAAGAAATAAAGAAAGCCCTTTCATTCATTCTCATTTGGCAGTATATCAACAAGCATTTACGACATGGCTCCTTACTGCATCTGAGTCCTCAACTTGAAAGAAGCTCATCCCTCTGCCACATCAACAAGGTCAAGCTAGGAGGCTAGGCACGGCACTCATCACTCACTCCAATACCGATATCACCAGTATTCAACCTCCATTATTACAATCCGCATAAGAAGATCAATGCAACAACATCCTTGCAAGGAGCGACCTTGTCCTAAACCTTATTCTTTGAACCTCTGAACCCTACATATCACCCGCATAATGCCCACTTCCCCCGCAACCAGCCCGGTTCCACCACCTGTATTCATGCCTCAATTCTCCAGCACCTCACCGGCTCCAACTCCAACACCGATGCCTCTTTCGAAAGAAAAGCCGGCTTCAAAGCTTAATAAAGATGATAGTTCCAATCCGTCCATCAACTTTCCTCTGCCCAAGTTACGCCTCGAGATACAGGATCTCAATCATGCGGGATCGCACACCTTCTTGACTGCCGTTAAAGCGAACGAGGCTCTGCAGACAGCTGTTCAAAGTGTTCTCACACTACTATACGAGTCTCCCAATTGTCCTACCACAACTCCAACTCCAACTCGATCCGTGACCCTCATTCTCCGTGCCATGGAAGGTGTGGCATATACAACGGGTAGTGACCTTGACAGTGACCACAAAGAGATACATTTATCCCTAGATTATATACAGCACGAGTCAATTAAGCCGGATCGAAAGAAGCATGAGATCATGGGTGTATTGACCCATGAAATGGTACATTGCTACCAATATAACGGATTCAGTACCTGCCCTGGTGGTTTGGTTGAAGGAATTGCAGATTGGGTTCGATTAAATGCCAACTTGAGTCCACCTCATTGGAAAAGGGAGGCTAGCGGGAAATGGGATGCAGGTTACCAACATACCGGTTACTTTCTTGAATATCTGGAACAGAGATTCGGTAAAGGCACTGTAAGGAGGGTGAACGAAAAACTGAGAGTTGAGCGATACGAAGAGAAACGATTTTGGACCGAACTTTGTGGAAGGCCGGTAGAACAACTCTGGAAAGATTATTCGATGTATCTGGAAGCAGAGGAGAGGAAAACTGAAGAAGAAGAATGTGTGATTGTGGAAAAGGAAGATGCTATAACACCCAAACAGCCCAAGTCGGAGGGGGATAAAGTGGCGCTCGCCACAAAAACGGAGGAAACGAAAGATAGCCCTACAAACATGGAGAAGCTTGAGTGAATTTCAGAGACGCTTTCTGAATCGATATATCATTCTAAGAATCTCAAAAACAGCCTCTCCATCACTTCACCCGATGCATATGGCATGTTTTACATCAATGGTTATCTCAAGGTGTTCAAGTTGAGCTTGTACAATTTAGAAGGTAATTTTCGACCAAGTTTCCAATTATTCACAAGGTTCAATCATTGGCTAACTTGAATTGTTATAGAAGGGTAGGATGCCATAGAATGATATAATTATATTATGATCATACATTATATATTATATATTTTTATTGCCTCCATCTATGTCCACATCATTCTCTAATCCACCACATCTTTCTTATTTGCTTCATCTCTGCCGTGTATATGTCGTGGGCCTAGATGATTTCGAGCTCAATGGCTCTGGTTAGGAGACAAGAACTAATAGTATGCCCCGAATCCAAATCTATTGCCGAAGACATCCGCTTCATGGAATCTTTGTCCGAGGTCCAATTCTGGAAGCTCATAATCTCCGGTTTCCTTTCTCATGTCGCTGGCATACTTGTCGAACGATGTTTTTAGGTCCAACTCATCGTGGTACATGTCATGTGCAATTCTTTTACTTGCGGATAACTCTTCAGAACCAAACTTTGTATCCTCCATAGCTTGCTTGAGTCTTAATGCGAAGGAAAGCTTTTCATTTTCCGCGGTCAAAGCATTCCATAGTCTTACTTTGGCTTCTATATCTTTTCTAAGGCTTGAAAATTGTTCAAAAAATGGCTCATCACTAGCGGGAAGCAATGATGCCACTCTTTGCAATTCATCTCGGGCCGAAGAGGATGGTACGTTACTTGATGTTGGGGATGCAGAGCTGGTAAGGGTTACAGATGATCCAGAGGAAGAAAAGGGCGTGGCTCCATGAACTCTTGCATGATTGCTATCTGATATTAGCGTGATGTGTCACCTTTCCACGGCAATGGGAACATACGACGTATTACTTTTGAATTTGCGAATAGCATCGCTCAGTTCTTTATTCCGAATTATTAATTGATAGTACCCTCGGTTGAAGCCGGCATAAACCTCTGAAAGACTCTGCTGTGTCGACATTGTGGACGATACTGTGGACGGTACTGTGGACGATTCTGTGGACGAGAAGGTTGAACCTGAAGATCCGACCGACGGCATTGGGGTGTGTCTTGCAGCCATGCTTCCGAATTTTGTTCGATACTGAGAATTTATGAAGTTTCTTTTAGGGGCCTATGAGGATTTTGAAAGGAAGCCGAAGACATTTTTATATTAGGTGCAGGATTTCTGGGCTAGTAGTAGTTGTCGTTCCTAGGAGGTTAGGCAAAGGCTCTAATTGTACTTATTGGATCTATTCTCGATTAAACTGACTAAGTTACAGTATACTTCTCTAAGTGTCATTCAGACTAGATAATTCCTAGATTTGAGATCTCGTGATTGACATTTTCAAACCCGAAGATTGATATGATAGTTGCCAGAAATAGACTTATCAGATGTCTTTTTCCACATCGCGTGTCGCTAACTCATTAGGGGGAAAGTTAAAAGAAACCAACTACCGATCGGAGATAAGTACGAGTAGACAACCAGGCCCAGATGAGGCATGAAATCATGATTCATTCTTCCCCCCCACACTTGGCCTTGCTTTGGGATTTTTAGTTTATCGATACACTTTCCAAGATTATGCCACAGTGGAGGTTAAAATCTTTGGCCCACGAAAAGTAGTCATTGTTCTGTACCGTACATACACACATACGTAGTGCACCAACTCAATTGTACATATGCAATGCTAGATAGATGAAATAGATAGACGAATCTCCCCAGAACACGCAAACAGCATGAAACCAAAAATGGTTAATGGTTGGCGTAAGCAAGGAATGCTTTGTTCCCTTTTCCCTTCAATATTGGATGTGTCGATGATTTGAGAGGACTGTGAAACCTCCTAGACATGTATTACGCACTCTCTTCCGTCATAAACCCGTCTAATTGGGAAATTCAATATTTCGTGAAAATGACAATACTACCATACAAGACAGGGCTTCCAGCTCCCTCGTAGATATTACTTTGAGCGGCTATCAAGCGGCACCTGGGCACAGTATGATAGAATTCAAGCTATTTACAGTAGTGTGGAGTTTACCTACTCCCCCTCAAACTCTTAGACGCCTCTTTTGTCAAACCAACATCATTCATTCCGTGCTCCGGGTTAGTCCACCTCTACTCTTGAGGACTCTTTATATAGAACTACAAACGTCCCATCGGTCTCTTAACATTGTACTTATTGTTTCTCTCTCTCTTTTTTTGTCCCTAGTTTTTGTTGTAATTCAATTTCCAAGTTTTTTGATTGATTGACCAAAAATAATTACCAAATATGCCTTTCATGTTTTCTCCAGGTATGTAATTACTAAATGAGTGTACGGCACGGTATATTGCCACCATTTAATAAGTCCGTGATATTCATTCACACACATACAAGTTACACCTGGGCAACACCCCAATTCTTATCCTGTGATAGGTGAAGATCACCCGATAACCCTGCAAGTAGTGGCGGTGTTTTTTGTATACGCAACCTCATAAGAGGCAACCATTTATCATTTCAATACCCAAAGTTCCTCTTACTTTCTCATCCTCCCCTTCTCCATGAGAGATTTCCTTCAATCTCTCCATCAATACCTTTCCCTTATTTCACACAGTCTATTGAGGGAACATGCCTAATCATCCCGTTTTGGTTTCAGGTGCGGTAATCATAGCTGCTGTGGCTGTAGGCGTAAGTTTCCCCTCTTTTTACAGAATCCATGCAATGCACAACGAAGAAATTCAAGAACTAATGGAACAATAGGCGGCGATAGCAGTATATGAATCACCACAAGCCCGACAATTCGCTGAAGATGTTCGTCGTCGAATCGCAGTCGCATTACATTCCCTCGGCGATGAAATCAATCCAAATAGTCGACAGCCCCGTTTCAACCGACCTGAGGATGCAGAGGGTTTTATGCAGAGTGCTTCGGAAGTAGGTGTAGATGCCGATGAGGATAGTCGGAGAAAACAGAGAGAGGAATTGATGTATTGGAATGCAGTACGCATGGAAAGAATGGAAAAGGAGCAGAGGATGGATGAAAGGAGACCAGCGGGAAACCCGAGCCGAAAGCCGAGTTTTGAGGATTTCTTACAAGAGGATCCCAATGCTGAGAAGGGCACTTTCGTTTACAACACTGGTACAGATTTGAATGGTCAAGCTGAAGAGGGTCTTACCCATCGACGCGGTGTCCGAGGTTTAAATCGATCGACAATCTACGCAAACCCATTTGCAGATGAGCACGGTATTGACAGCGAGGAACAACAAGCTATGGATAGAAGTTTAATGTCTCCTGAAGACGGCGAACACTACGAATCGGACTCTGAAGGATTGTACAGTTGCCACGAAGGTCGAACTCGATCCCGCTCTCGTCAAAGTACCTCCACTCTTTCACCAGCAGAACCTATCGCCCACGAAGACGCCGAAACTCTTGTTGACCTTTCTGAGCCATTCAACCCAGATCCACCAGTCTCCGTACCTACTCTTGAAAATTTGGAAACTGAGCAAACTTACACAGCAAGAGCACAAGACAATGAAAATCCATTCGCATCCATTCACGCTTGGGCCGATCATACCGATAACGCAACTGGCTTTTATTCTCCTCTCCCTGCTACACCTCACGAACGTCCTTCAACTCCAACCGCCACCCAAAGCGCCCAAGTTACTCCCCCATCACCCACTATCTCCGATCCCGATTATTCCTCTCTCGAATCTCTCGATGGAGATGGAATGATTACTCCCACAGATTCCGCCTCATTAGCCGGTTCAGGCGAAGAAATCTGGCACCCCAGAAGCGGCGCTACCAGCGACGCCGATGTCATGAGTGTAGATGACGGAATCGTCACACCAGATAGCTGGTCGGAAATTGGAAGCTTAGCAAGCGAAGATGGAGTACACCATTAATCATTCGTATCGACTCATACACTACCCACACGTATTGAGAAGCTACAACGTCTACCCACTCACTTACAAAGCATGCGGTCTATACCAAGCGTAGGAGTTGCGTTCGGCGTCGGATACATACTAGATGTCACATGGTACAGAAAAGGCATGGGAATCATCACAATTAGCTAGAGCGAGCTGCAGGAACAGTAAATTGGGGGTATAACAGCTTGGGAATACAAGCATGGCGTCGGGATTATGGGATATGGGAATGAGGAGGTTGGCGTATTGGTGGGCTTATCTAACGTTCTCTAAATTGATCGATTAACATATTAAAAATTTGTTCTAATATTTATTAACTGTTCCTTGTTGTTATGAGACAGGGTGTTGAAAAGTGATATTTTTACGTGGTTTGATGTTAGTGTGGAGTTTGATTTTGTATGAGATGTTTGTGTAACGACGGTATGTAATATGATGATGTGTTGCAACGGACATTTCCGTATCAAATCTTTCCATCACTTCTACAATTTCGATATACATAAAACGTGTGAACGATCTATCAATGTAGGGCATCGAGAGAGAAGGTCTTGCTAGTAAGATTCAGAAGCTTGAGACTTGAAATAAGATAATGGAATGTTCAAATAGTTTGAGTATTCATTGATACATACTATGTAGGTAGATATCCAGGAGGAAGTCATCATTTATTTACTTATGATTTGAGATATTACAATTATGATCCGACTCCCGATATCCTCCGCCGTTTATAATTACAATAAGCATCTTTACAAAATGAGTGGGTACCTGTGTATAGGCATGTACAAATAAGCAAAAGATACAATATACCAAAAAAAATGAATACTCAACCCTCAAGCCGGCACCCCCTCATAAACCGCACCCTCTCTCACCCTCCTCCTCCTCTTCCCCTCACGCTTCCTCCCCAAAACCCCCTTCCCACAATTAACACACAGCACGAGGAAAAAGATGATCAATACAATAATCGTCGCCACCAACGGCACAATCACCACTCTCTCACTCACATGATCGGCAGCCTCTCGGTTACTATACGGACACGTTGTATTCGGACCGCCCGTGGTCCAGCAATTTTTCGTATCGAGAGAATTGAAGTCGAGCCAGATTTTTGGATCGTCGGGGTCGAGGTCGCGGGCGGGAGAGAGATTGGTGACTGTTTGGGAGAGGTATGCGTTTTCGAGGGAGGTGCGGGGCGCGGAGAAGAGGTAGGGGGAGGGACAGGCTTGGGAGGCGTAGGAGTAGGAGATGGGGTAGGTGGTGAGGGTCCAGTTGTAGGGTTGTAAGGGGGCGCGACAGGCGGCGTAGAGTTTGGTGGAGCAGTCGGTTACGTGCCAGTGGGTGGTGGTGGGGTGGAGAGTGGCGCAACGGAAGAGGGGGTCATTGTTGTCGCTGTCGCTGTCATTGGAGGAGCGGGGTTCGTAGGGGGCCCAGGACCAGATGGTGGAGTAGGTGTAATTTTGGTAGGGGAGATTGTTGGTGTCGGCGGTGGTGTTGAGGAGGGTTGTGTTGAGGGTTGGGGATATACCACACTTTGTGAGAGAGGATGTTAGGTTGAGGAGGGAAGTCAGGTTGGAATTCGATCTTGTGGGATAGTCGAACCCGGGTATGTTTGCGGTTGTTGCCCAGGATGAGTTAACTTGAGAAATGTCTTCGGTGGCGTTAACGAGGAAGCAACCACTTTCTACTACTCCATCAGCGCTGACCAATGTGTCATTGTCGCGGCGGTTGCTAAGGTAGCCTGGAGGGAAAATAGTTCCTGCATCTCTACTGAAATCATAAATCTCCATTTGGGGATCCACAGAGCCGAATTGTAAAAGTATTCGTTTGCCTTGAGAAAACTCGATGTAGGACTCTGATGGCCAACCATCTTCAGTGGATATGATGCCAAATTCTTGCGTGACGGTAGTATAATAATCCAAGGTAGGTCGATATCTCTCTAAAACTTGATACCAAGATGTATTTAAATTTGCTCGATTGGACCTTAGGTCGTGTGGTGTGTATATGTATGCTGATAAATTTGCCGCGAAAAGGAAGCTTAAAGATTCTGTAAGATCCGGAAGGTCGGTGGGCTGAGGAGAAGGGTCATCAATGCCGGAACCAGACTTTACCGCGTGGATATTGAGAGTCAGTATCAACATATATGCATCAATCGTATTTTGTGTTTCGTGTATGTAATCCAAAAGAAGACTTGTTAGCATATGTAAGTTGATAGTGTTAGTGCAAATGTAACTTCCAATATTATACAGCGACTTGTTCGAAGTGTTTGGGATTGCAGAGGCTACAGGTACTGTTGATTCGAGAGAGCTTGCTATTACGTTCACTGCGGACAAACTAGGAGAAGTAGGTCTTGAAATGAATGTACCATCTACATCTGTCATACTTGGTGAGGCAATGATGGAACTCGTGGCTGCATCTTGCCTAGGAATCAAATCTGTAGTTTGCTGGGCTGAAGTTATACTGGCTATGGTGGATGAAAGCGTCGATGTTGGAGTTGGTGTAGAGGCATCATCCGAGCTCGAAACTGGTACGGCAGCAGGACAAAAACTCCATAATTGTCTTGCTTCATCCCAATACAAATCCATATCCAGTCTCCGGAAGCCATTGGCCAATAAATTGGAAATGCAAGTAGCCGCATCATCATCCTCATATTTGAGGGATGAGAAACACGCGGCCGTCAAGGAGGCGCCAGGAGCCGTAGCATAATTAATTGGTATGTTCAATCCCAAATCTCTCTGTGACTAAGAAATGATTTAGCAAGAGTGTCCATGTTGATCCGGTCAGAAGAGCGTAACACACCAGAAATGCTGTGTCGTAAGGAGACTCCGGTAAAGCAGCATTATCTGGCTTATAAATTTCACTCATTTTACAAAGTGAGTATCAAACGTCTGTCTTCTACTCAATAGTTGCGAATGTTGCCCCTCTGTTTTCTTATCCATCCGAAGCATCCGAACGACTGAATGCTGTCATAGCTTATGAATGGCCACCAAAATGTATTTTATGAAGTTGAGAAAGAATACGAGAATGGAAGTATCATGCTGAACTGACATAGAATTGATCAATCATTGTTATACTAGAATATGGATGACGACATAGGATTAGATAAAGGTTGTAAAACTTAATAATGTGAAGTTCTTTTTTTTGTATTTTGTATTTTGTCATTTTAGCTCTATTTGGATAGCCGACTCGATGATGAAGGGGATTTCAAAAGAAGGGCTGGATTGGGCGATCCTGTGACTTGGATGCCTGAGGACGCTAATGCCGCTGATGCCGTTGATACTCAGATCCTTGTCGAAGCTCGTAGAACAAACAAACACATAAATTGTAATCCTTGGAGCCTTGGAGCCTTGGACGCTTGGACAAGCCGTGCACCGAAGCTCCGTGCACCATTCATGCCAGCATGCCTCACGAGTTACAAAGTACAGTACTCCTCCTGGGCAGCTTACCTCATCGGGCTGCCTGTTAACGTCCGCCACATCGTGTGGCTGTATAACCCGATTTATACCCACCTGCCACACTAAATAAAGATTTGGACAGATAACTTTAATAAATCTTTATTATTCACGCATTCACCCATTCACCCATTCAATCACCCATTCACTCACTTCAACCACATTTGGCCCTAGGAATTCCCCTTACATCCACCACATATTGTATTCAACTTTACAATTTCCAATATGGATTCTCCAAAAGCAGATCCCCAACAAGGACCACCACCAGGACTGGGTCAGATTCAATTCAGATTACCAGATGGTTCACAACCCAGTCCGGAACAAATACAGATGATGCAACAGCAAATCGCTCAACAAGCACAACAACAAGGATTATCGATACCCGAATTCATAGCAAAGATGAATGCGCAAAATCAAGCCCGATTACAAGCCCAACAAGGCCAGCAGCCATCTCCAGAACAAATTCAGGCCATGCAGAAGCAGCTAGCTCAAGACGCCGAGAAGGCTGGAATGTCTGTACCTGAATTTGTAGCAAAGATTAAGGCGCAACAAGCTCAGCAGCAAGCTCTACAACAAGGCCAACAGCCATCTCCGGAACAAATTCAAGCCATGCAAAAGCAATTAGCTCAGGACGCTGAAAAGGCTGGAATGTCTGTTCCTGAATTTGTAGCAAAGATTAAGGCGCAACAAGCTCAGCAGCAAGCTCTACAACAAGGCCCACCACCATCTCCGGAACAAGTCCAGGCGATGAAAGAGAAATTGGCTCAAGATGCAGCAAAAGCTGGTATGACTGTACCTGAATTTGTAGAAAAGATAAAGGCGGATGCCATGGCCCAACAGCAGAAACAAAGAGAAGCTGCAATGGCCCAACAACAGCAGCAACAACCTCAACCAATTCAACCAGGCCCTCCAAATCCAGCAGCTATCGCTCTCGCAAACTTCTTAATGGGTCAGGACTTGAAAGCGAGAACATGTATCTTGAATGGTCAAAGAAAGAACATGTTCAAAGGTAAAAAAATTCACTACCATATTACAATTACTTTCTAACACGTAATCACAGTGAAACGCGCTCTCCGAGCCATCCAGTCACCAGCTTATGAGAAGGCTCGCAAGAAGAACCCACTTCTCCCCGAAATTACTGATCGCGCCTCACTCGAAAACTGCTTCAAACTACTCCCACTTTCTCTCCTTGCACTTCGTATTTCCAAAGTCGACCCTCATGAAGGTCATGATCATGCCCCTGGTGCTCACAATACGAAGCGGGTGAAAGGACTTTGGACTGTCAAAATTGAACAACAGCAAGAGTGCAGGGAAGATCTCCATTTCGTTTGGCTTTATGAAGGTGCACAAATCAAACAGAAATTATACGCTGCTGGAGCATTAGCGATTGTCTTTGCAATTGTCATGTTCCCACTTTGGCCAATGAAGATGAGATTGGGTGTTTGGTATCTAAGTATGGGTATGCTTGGATTGTTAGGATTATTCTTTGCGATGGCCATTTTCAGATTAATTCTGTTTGGTATTACAATGTTTGCAGTGCCTCCTGGATTATGGTTATACCCAAATCTTTTTGAGGATGTTGGATTCTTCGATAGTTTTAGACCAGTCTGGGGATGGCAAGAGGTATGATTTATCTTTTATGATATATCTTATTATGGAGCAGGAAAAGCTAACATGATCAATAGGAGAAGAAGAAAGGCAAGAAGAAGTCTAAGTCAAGTGCTTCCGCCAGTGCAAGCGCTATTGGAGCAGCAATGACAGGTCAACCAGCTCCAGCATCGGCAACCACGACAGGATCGACAGCACAAATTTCTACCGGAGAAAGTACACAACGAAATTTAGCACCCAGAATTGAGGAGGTGTTTGATGAAGAGTAATTACGCAGTAAATGATTTTACTACGTGATATGATACCTGGAAGGCGATTTATGGATGGGCTGATGGATCGATCTATGGATGATCGGAGTATCACTGGTGTACAATACTTTATGTGGATATTGGGAAGGAAATAATGTTCTTTTTTCTTGGTCCTAGATCTTTGATTCTATCTGCATCTTTTTATTTTTGGTGAAATTGTACCACTGGAATTTACATTTGACAGGTGATTGATAACAATGACAATTCAATTCTAACAAAATACCAAATGTAGCAACCTTTACATACCCACCGGATATAGATTTCGGCTATTGAAATATGTTCTCAGAGGAGATTTAGAATTCGGTGTCTGGTCCTTTGATTCCAATGTACTATTATTGTATCTACAATATTTGCAAGATGTGCAATATATTATTTTCAATAATAATGAGTGTACCATTCCTAGGTATTTTCCATATTTAATATTCTATCAAAACACAAAACACATATGTCCAATCTCCAACTCCATCTAATATGCAAAAGTTTCGACTCTCAAACTTCAGAGACTATCCGAGTGATCATCCACATGCTCAAACTGTTTTCCATAATCCTCCGGAAGCCTAAGATTTCTCGGCAATGTATACTGTCCTCGACAAGTCCCCATTGTCCTACAATCTAAATCGCACTTCCCATAGAGTCGACAATAGCACTTTTGCGCACTCGGACACGCCTGTCTATTAAGTCTCTCCAAATCCAGCATTCCCTGCTCCCCTCCTTCCTGCTCCAAAAACAACACGTGCCACAAATAACTCAATATCCTCCCCGCCACCTTATCATCCCTCGGAGCTCCCTTCGGATCCAACAACCACTGTCTCAGCGCTACATACTCCTCTCTCTCATGTTTCCAGATACTTTTCCTCGACACCACAAACTGCGCACAACATTGACTTCTCACCACATCGGTTCTACTCAACTGTTTCCCCTCTCCGAATAATACTCTCGATGCTTTCGGCATGGCCGCATCAGAAACCGCTCGTTTATCCCACGGTTGCAGCGATGCTTGCATACTCGTTTCGAGACTTCCTTGCGCTACGGCTTTCTCCCCACAGGTACTGAGACTCCAATCACATTTCAGATTATGGTAACCGTCTTCCGCCAACGCAGTTTCAATATTAAGATGGGTTAACAGATCTAGATTATCATACGTAGGATGATCATTATGCCACTGGAAGCGATTTCCATGGATGAAGACCGCGCCTGCCGCGGGAATATGTTCATAATTGTCGATCAGGAATGTGAGGTAGGGCATCGCTTCGTGCGCGCGATTAGCAGGTACTTGGAGGATTTTCTGAGAGGATTGGAGCAGGGGGGAGGAATCGACATTGTAGATGCAGATGTGGTATTTGGAGCGGAGGGGAGAGAGCCAGGCGGGGTCGCCATCGGCGGAGACGTGGGAGACGATCAGAGCGGGTTTGGTGGTGGTGGAGAGACCGGGACAGAGACCGTGGGGTGCGGGGAGGGCGGGTTGGCGGGAAGTGTAGGGATACCGGATGCGTGTCCAGGGGAATGAGGTGTTGCTGGAGGAACGGTTGAGGTAGATGATGAGGAAGAGGGCGCTGGTGAAAAGCGTGAGGTGCACGAGGGCTTTGCGGGTTGTGCGTCTCATTTTTGGAGGGTTTTCCGATGCTGGGTAGGGATATGGGGGTTAGAGATAGGATGAGATGTATATTCAACTAGTCATCTATACAAACAACCCAAGCAAAAATCATTGATTCAATATATCTCATATAATCGACTTTTCAAGAAATAACTCGCAAAGATATCCCTGTCATCAGTCTCCAAACATATTAAGGAAATTCCAACCTCCTAGTCTCGCTAGTCAAACCGCTCATCCATCCAGCGATCGTCTCCACTTCACTTCAGTTCACTTCGGAGCTAAAAAAGAAGTTCGTTTCATACTTTGATTTTACCTAGTTCCACCAGGTCTTATTAGACCCCCAAAAAGAAAAGCGACAAGTGGATTTCAAACCCCCGCAATAGCGATTCAAAAGCTTGAATTCATGTAAAGTTTAACATCGTATGTAGTATAAACAAAAAGGCTAACTCGAAACTGATAATCTAAGTTTCTACTCGTAGGAAAATCTTAGTACTTATTAATTCACGATTTAGCACATCAACCCGAGCAAAGGAGTAAAATGACATAAGCGAATTCTCTATCCATCTATCCATCTATAAAGGATAATCCACCATCAATTACGATACTTCAAATGCATAGTATTATTTTCTTTAACTTTTCGTAGTATACAATAATACTTTGGGGATGGTGCAAAGTAGAGTATAGGTACCTATCAATATTAGGTAGAAGAGATATTCGTACGATAATGTTACATAACTTACCAATATCCATATATATCTCAGCTATCAACGATTGATCATATCAACATCAATCAAAAAAATAGAATAAGAAATATCCTTTATGCGAATCGCATTAAAAGTATACTCAATACCTACTTTGCTATCAGAATCTCTGAAGTAAGATTTCATTCTAGCTTACTCCTGTAATATCCAAATCCATCGTATCTCTCTAATCACGTATGTATAGTTCGGGTCCTCAATAAGATTCTTTAGTATGCTTCATTTCATAACTTAATAAGTCGAATATCTTCTCTCATGATAAAGGCATCTGTTATATGGATTTTCCTCCCACCTAGGTATCTTTTGCTCCACCTCTCCACCTCTCATCTCTCGTTTTCGAGTTATTATTACAAAATGTCAAATTCGTACAAGAAAGACGTACACTCTTCGGTATACAATAATTCAATCCTAGAGTCATCGAATATACTTTTTCATCCGCCTACCCATTTCTCATTTTCGGCCTAATTGTCTTATCCATCAATCTATTGCCAATCATCATCACCAGCAACATCATAATCGATGTTTTCTTGCATGTCTCTCTCCCCACCATGTCCACTCATACCCATTGAATTAGACTCTTGTGCCATGGCATCACCTTCCATTCCACCTTCCATCTTGGAATCTGACTCTGTATTACCACCTCCGATTGAGTTCTGGGTATTCGGCAATGTGACCGGCGGCAGAGGAGTTTGAATCCATGATAATTCAACCTTCCCTACCGATGGAATCTCGCCGTTCTGAAGACCATACATGAATTTCTCAGCCGTGTGACGATCTTTGAAAGTAATCTGACAACCATTTGGCGTATTTGTGAGTTCGGTATATTCACCAATACCCTATGAATGTATTAGTACACATCGACGAAAATTTTGGAGGGAGAAAAGGGAAGACATACCAAAAGATGCTCTCTTAGGCTCTCGTCCGTCTGAGGATTTGTAAAGTCGGCACCACTAACGGCAATCTTCTTCGTTCGATTGTCAAGATTGTAGCGAGCTGGAGCACCACCACCAAAAGTAGCACCGCCACGCCCTCTGAAACCACCTCGAAAACCACGTGGAGCAAAAGTGCCTCTTCCTCTATAGCCACCACGTCCGCGACCTCGCCCACCCCATGTATCATCAGAAAGAGGGCTATCCAGACTTGGTAAACCTAAGGATTGAGCTTCCGCCTCTAAAGCTGCAAGTTGTTTCTTCAAAGCTTCTGTTTGAGATGAAGGTGCGGGTGCAGGAGAACCGCCTTCTGCATTGACACCTGGAGATACAGATTTACCAGACTTGGCCGCAAGTCTTTCCATCAGCTTTCTCTTTTCCTCGGCTTGATTTTTCAAAAGCTCTTCTTGACGTCTTTCTAGCTCCTTACGCGTGGCTTCCATTTCCTGTTTCTTCTTCATTTTTTCCTCGTGAGCTTTCTGTACTTCTTGCTGCTTCTTTGCGAACTCTTCGAGGTCAATTTGAGGTTCATCCGACTCTCTTGCAGGAACTGGGCCAGATGTACCATTATGAATTGTGCCATCAAATGATCCATTAGCAGGGGGTTTTGGAAGCGCTTCATTATTTGTGAACCAATAGACCTTTACAAATCTATTGTCAAAAATAACCTTAGGTGAGCTGTATGCTGCATTCGCCCCGTTCCAGTCATCAAATGTGATCAGAGCCAAACGTTTATATGGTTTCATGTCTACCTTCTTTATGTTACCGAATTGAGTGAAAAATTCTCGAACGGTTTCCTCTGAGAACTTGTCTTCTGGAATTTGCTCTACCACGATTGTAGTATTGTTCTTGTTATAGTTTGCTCGATCGGATGAGAACTCTGATCGTCTCGCACCCCTGTTAGAATGCATTTGCGATCCACCTCTGCCCATAGACTGCCCTCTGCCACGTCCCATACCACCACGGTTGTTTTCAAAGCCGTTGTATGGTACCGGTCGTTGACTGTTGTCATTCTGGTTCTGATTTCCGGTCAAAAGTGATGCATTGCTTGGATCGTACTCGTCTGTAGGTTTGCCAGCACCTCCAGGAACATATATCGAATCTTGACCATGCTCGAACATACAAGTATTTCCTCGCGCGCAAAATCCCTTTTGGTCGTAATCCCGACATCTTTGTTTCCTCTGGCCCGTTGGTCCTTGATGCCCTCTATTTTGATTAGCTCCGTTAGGAGGAAATCCTGGCATACCTTGTGGAAGAGGCATACCCATCGCACCCATAGCTTGCTGCATGGCAAGAAGAGCTGCCATTGGATTGTTTGGATCGAGAGGAGGTAAGCCTGTTGGAGAACCTGGAATGTTAGGCATATTAGGCATTTGCATATGTTGTGGACGGCCTTGAAATCCTCCTCTGCCACTATTGAAATTGTCGAAAGATCCACGTCCTGCCGCGCTACCCCTTCGAGGCTGTTTAAATGCGCGCGAATTCTGATCACCGCCTCCCATGTACATTTGAGGATCTCCATCGCCTCGTCCGTCAAATGCGCGCTTTCGAGAACCGTTTTGATGGCCCATCGAAGGTCCCATATTTGGGTTATTGAAAGCTGGAGCTGATGGTCCGGTAGGTGGCGCGAATTGTTGCGAATCGCGACGAGGAGGTCCAACACTCAAATAAGTCTTATATTGGAGGGCATCGAAGACATCTCGTACGAAAATTGATGTATCCTCTTTCAAGAAATCGGGAATTTCAGCCATGCAAAGTTGTCGAACTGTATTGACATCTCCATCGTGTCGCAATAAAGCAAGAACATAATCGGCAAGAACATCTGCATCTGCATCTGACCTATAAAGAAAATTAACATGACATCTCTGAGATGACGGAAATTGAAGCTGAACATACGTATTCTCAAGTCTCTTTATAATCCATTTCTTCAATTCTCCCGCATCTTCTTCTGAAAACAACATCTTGAGAATGAGATTCCTTTTGTTGCAGTATGCTGTTGAAAGAAGTATTCTTAATTCTTCGTATCAAATTGGGTTCAGGGAAATTATCGATTTGCAATCATGAATTCATGACTGTCTGCACAAACAGTTTGACTTTGGGAATAAATTATTGAGAGCCTCGGGCAAGTTAAACTTTTGGGAAACTGGAAGCTCTATTGTGGTCCGAGCTTATTGGGTGATCCGAGTGCCTAGTGGCCTCTGTACAAGCAAATATCAGAAATCGTCGAGTAAAAATAATATTGACCATACACAACTGTTGTTCTGAATAATTTTCACATCGATATATCTTTTCTGCAACTAAATATACAGTGCTCTATGTCCTAGCGCAAACTGTGTCGAAACAAGGGGTGAATACTACAACAATTGATGTTTGTTGGTTGACAATTGGTTGATACCAGAAGAGAAAAACTAGCAAATCACTCTGGAATCTATGGTGTTTCTATATTCTATATTCTTTATCTATCGCTAATCATCTAGTATATCCTACAGCTTTCGTTTCCATTGTTCATGAATGACCTAGCCTCTCTCATCAAACACCCTTCTGTTTGTTCCAGAAGGCGTCCAAGGTTCAAGAGCTTCTTCAGTTGAAGTCTCATGAAACCCTTTCCCTTTAATTATAGGTACCTTCCCAGGACTTTGGTTGTCTGATTCTCTCACATCAACCATAGTATCTTCACTGATACTCCTAAGGCCATTCTTCGTAGTGATTGATCTATTCAAGTCACCCTTTGGAGCACCCATTGGTCTCCATTTGATCCATCTCAATAGCTTTTGTTTGTAGTCGTTACTACTCATTTCGTTTCCTCGTGCAGACATAGCTGCCTGTTGGAGCCCCTTTTCTTGATCATCAACACTCACTTTCACTGTAGCATTTCTTTTTCGCCAGTACCAAATTCCTGCGCAGGAAATTGTTACCACAGTTATAGCTAGGATCACAAAAACTATCTCTCGCAGCATTGTTCTTCTCCTCTCCCTTTCAATACTATGATGAGACTTAGGATCGGGAGCTGTGGGTACCGGTGTCAGAATACTGTTGGGATTGGCAGTATCGCTGACCATGCTCGCTGGACTTGGTGGTGCTGATCCCGTTGTCCAATTGGAGGGTTGAGGCCCAAGAACAAAATCCATTGTTCCACCATTCGCAAAGACATCGTTCCAGGTAAGCCATGATTGATTCCATGGGTTTCCATTAACCTTGAGAGATTGGACATAAAAGGAAGACTCGGAACCATCAACAGTGGTCATAGCAAGTGTTTTTCCGTCACCAAGTTGGATAGTTGTGTTGGCGAACCATGGGCTACCAATTAAGAAGGTGGTTTGCCCTACCATAGGGTATAAACCAAGCATATTCCAGATTAACCATGATTCCATTGCGCCAGCATCACTATTCCCTGGTAACCCACCAGGTGTAGGTGAGTAATATGACTTTGCAATGTATCGAGATTGCATTACGCTCAAATCTTGTCTTCCTACGTAGCTATACAAGTAAGGTGTGGTGAACGATGGCTCATTGCCTGGGTTGAAAATCGTATTGTTAAATTCTGAGGAGCGCCCAGAGGTGTTGATTCCAGGTTTAAACATGGTGTCAAGACGATTGACGAAAGTTGATGGTCCACCTGATAATGCGATCAGTGTGTTCATGTCATGGTGCATATTAAAGGAATATTCCCAAGGTAATGCTTCATAGTAAGCATCTCCCCAATAACATCCACCACATGAGAGTGGGTCCTGTTTGATAAATCCTAAAGCACTTCTAGGAACGAGAAACCCATTGAACCCTAGAGAAGTAGCATTTGGGTTCCAATGGTTTACCCAATTACGAGACCTCTTCAGATAATTCGTTGCGTCGTCTTTCATTCCTAAACCAGTCGCTACTTGATAGAGTGAAAAGTCGTTAAAGGAATACTCGACAGCTCGAGACACAGATCGGCCATATTTTGGTGTAATATACCCATACTGTAACCAATCGGGAAGGGCTCCCCGACCTTCTTTCGTCGAAGACGAATTGTCTCGAGGATCATTATTATTAAGTGGGGTAACCTCAGCATTTTTGACCATAGCTTGGTATCCAGTGGTCCAATTCACTGCCCCTCTCACTCCCTTTACATAGGCATCAGCTAGCACATTATCAGAGTTAGACCCCCCTTGTGTTGCGCCGTTGAAATTTGAGGACCTCGCATCTGGCATATAACCTTCAAATCGAAATATATCAATCAGTGATCGGATGTACTCCTCATATGCTACTGGCTGAAGTATATGAAGTAACGAAAAAGTACACCGAAACAGGTCCCAAGTTGTAAAGGTATCATCATAGTATGGCTCTGATGAAGCCCAGAGTGGGTTCTCCCCGGTCCGGTTGGATGGTAGTAGGTGCATGAAATATAGGGAGCTATATAATAACTGCAGGTTCGTTTTATTGGTCTCGGTAGTCGTGACTTTAGATAAAACCTCGGTATTCCAGACACTTTTCGCATCGTCGGTCAAGGTGGAGAGTGTTGTACCAGAGGGTATCTGTGAGTTGACGTTTTCACAGGCCTGGGCTGATGATATAAAAGAGATTCCTACTCTAGAGACTACCGTTGTGGTGCTGAAACTGAATATGGCTCCTAGTCGAGTTTTGGAAGAAGCAGATTTCTCTGTACCATAACTTGCAATTGCACTTCCATTGAGGCTCGTTCCGGTGAAAGTCTTTGACGTAGCTGGATTTTCGAAATAGCCACAGAAGTATATTCTCCAGTCAGGTGCCATATTCCATCCATTGTTATAATCACCAAATCCTTCATAATGTCCGTCCTCTAGCACAGTAATATTCCCGCCAAGGTAATTCTGAGAAAGGCCCTGTTTTCGATATGATGGTAATACATGAGACACATCAACAACTACATTTGGGGTGCCTTTACCCTCTGGGAATGTGTACTGATAAAAGCCCGCGCGACTCGTTGCCGACAATTCGACAGTGATATTGCTTCCCAGCGAAGCTTTGTAGTATCCTACCGATGTGATATCGGTAGAGGCCCGAGTACCATTCATATTGACCAGTGGGTTGGTTATGTCCCCAAGTATTGGCATCTGTGAGACAACACCATATTTCGGCGAACCTCCAGTCCCACTCTCGTGCATCATGGAAAATCCGGTAAAGTTGCCACTTAATGCAGCTCCAGAATAACTATCACTTCCTGTGAACATGTCAGGCCCAAGCTTGACCATACCAAAAGGTAGAGAAACTCCGGGGAAGGTATTGCCTCCACTGGCCTCGCCATTCTAGAAAACATGTCAGGCACGTTCTAATATTGGACTTCGCGTAAACTTACTGATGTGAGAACATATTGTGAATAATCTATAGTGGACTGAGCTACCACTCCGGTTATGAGCCCAAGCAGGGCAGTGTAAAGATACATTAGAAAGGCGTCAAGAAATTCGAAATGCGTTAGATGTTGGCTTTAATCTCATTTTTATGGAGTTTTGAACGGTTCAAGAAATAGTTAAACAATCATATATGATCATACATATTAGCAGTGGTGATTTCAGAGATGTATACACATCCTCTGCTTCCCTTGAAGAGTGGTGCTAAAAGCAAAGAGCGTCTGTTGTGTAGACGCAAGTATTTACATGAATGGCTAGACAATTTTATAATAGAGTTGTGAATCATACAGAAATAGGAAAGCAATGAGGGAGATTATAAAAATGACAGACTAATGAATAGACCAATGATCATTTGCTGAAACAATCAGATGAAGTCAAGTGCTGAGAAAGGTAAGGAATGATCGAGGTGTAGAGTACAGCAAGAACGAAACACGGCACTTGTGACTTCCTTTAAGAATGATCAGGGACTCCGTACTATATCTCACGATATCAGTTACTTGAGTTCTAGACATTAGATGGATCCACTTGGATCCCCCGAAGTCTGCGCTGGTCCTGTGCATCTGCGCCATAACGAGGGGTCAGCACAATTAAACATTGCAGGCGTACGGAACCAATAGCACGCGATAAACCCAAACGTTTCCTCAAACATGGCCCCCAAATCTATCGATTATGAGGGGTTTTTGAGAACATAATCAGCCAAACAACGTCTCTCCTTCACACATTGTAAGGGTGTTTGAATTTGCTGGCATAAAAGGGGTCCAGAGCCAAATTCAGCTTCTCGTGCAGTAGCCTTATATCAGCCCCCCTTAAGCCCTAGCCACATCGGACAGTATACTTTATCATTGTGTTTCCATTTTAATCATTTGTGTACCTGTTGACCGAATGAAAGTAGATGTTAGCTGGTTATTTAACAGATGGTTTCCATGTTGCTGATGAATCTATTAAGATCTCCCTCTTTCTTTAATCATGGAAATGCGCCTCCAACATTTCATCTCAATGACACCCCATCCCTTTCCATCTAGATCCAATTGTTGGTGTCTCATTTGGTGAATATATACGAGAGATCACACCACCTGCAGTCAGATATTCGCTCTGTTCTACTGCGTAATTACGATACACCTATATGGAAATCATCCTCAGCATGATCTATTTGATTTGATCAGAAAATACCCAATAACGGCTGGACAGGGCACAAGATGACTACCTAGTATTAATCACGACCGAATGTTGCAAAAAGTCTCTCAAATCTATTTTCCACAACAGTTAAAACGCTGTTGATCAAGATTACCAACAGAGACTAAGATTTATGAAATTAATTCTTCCGAAGCACAGAAACTTATGAATACTAAGCTTTATGCTGATGTATTCAAATTTCAAGCTTCCGGCGACCACCATACTGAATCCTGAGGACAATGGGTATTAGGCATTACTATAGTAAGCATGTACGGTCAGGATTCATGGCGTTCTAGAAGACAACTCCTACATGAGCATGGGTTTTCAAACACGTCACATCCATTATTGAGTTGTTCTTCCCGTGCAGTATGGTGGCATATACGGATGGCATGAGAGTGAGATTTATAATCAAAGTGCTTACTCTA